TTTATTTAAGCTATAGTAGTTAATATAAAACCTTAATTCTCCGTCTAGCTTTTTAGTAAATAGTATTAGCGCTACTACTAGAGAGTTACTTATTTAAATAAAGCTTTTATTTAAAAGTTCTATAAGTATCTTTTATAGTACTAGTAGTTCTTCTCTTAATATATTATATAGTAGGCCCTAGGGGACCTATAGCTTCTTTCTATTTCTATCTATATCTAGTAGTTTAATATTATAATTGGTACCCTATTTTTAAAGTAGTAATACCTCCGCTTTAATTAAGTTAAATATATCTAGATAGTTATAGTATTATAGAGGGAGCTTTCCTTTAAGGTCTATCTTCTACTTAGTACATAGTACTTTCTTTATATCTACTATATTAGCTATAAAGACTTTAATAGAGCTTATCTAGAGATAATATCTCTAAATAGCCTTTAGCCTCCTATTCTTATAATATAACTAGTTAAAGCTTACTATAGAGATCTTCTTTATATCTATTCTCCCTTTACTATCTCCTATATTAATCTAAATACCTAAGTTCTTAAATATAAGGGTATTTATCCATTTCTCTAATATAGTATTCTAATCTACTAACTATCCTCTTTTTAGTATTATATTATGGTGCACTATATATAGAATAATATATATAAATACTTATTCTTAGAAGTTACTAGTAATATCTAATATTATATACCCTATTTTTTTTATAAATTTACCTATTATTCTATTAACCTCTATAAGCTCCTAGGGAGTAATTAGTAGATACTTAATATAATATTTTCTAATAAAGTCGGATAATATTACTCTATAAGCTCTATAGCCTATATCTATTATAGTTTTAACTATAGCGGTTTAATTTACTATAATACTAATAATAATATAAAATAAGTTTATCTTCTCCTTTTTAAACCTTACTAGTCTTATATTATATTTCTAGGGGGCTCCCGCCTATAATTTTTGGTAGGAGCTAGTCTTTTCCTTAATCCCTAGATATATTTTCCTTCTCTAACTCTAGGCCAGTGTCACAAGCTGACGGCGCTCCTTAATTACCTAAACGTGATTAGAGGTTCATATCTATTATAAGATAGAAGGTATAAAAATCTTAGAGAAAGCTTAGGTTAGAAATAAATTATTATAGAAGACGGCTTAATATTAAAATAAAATAGAATACTATAGCGAGACTATCCCTTAGTTCTAAGTATAGCTTTAGTTAGTACCTTAGTTGAATAAAGGCTAAAGGTCCTTATAAGTAGTAAAGATAATATTAATTTATATTAATAGGTAAAGGGGTATTTAATAAATATAGTATAAGATAACTAAAATAGTGCTTTATATTAAGTAGTATAGTAAAACTATAGCTAGTTTAATCGCGAGTATAAGACTTTTAATCCTAAGGTAATAAATATTCTTATATATATAATATATATCTAATAATAGGTTTAATAGTTTTCTACTAAGGGGTTCCTATTATTTCTATTAGTTATTATAATAGTATTAATAGAAAGCTACTAAGCTCGTCCTATTAGTTCTATTATTATTAGTTATATAACTAGTGCCCTTAAGGTCTAATCTATAATCTTTCTATCTAATAAGTATATATTTTAGGGCTACGTTATAGGTAGTCTATAATATTATCCCCTTCTTTTTAATAAGTTATTCTAACGCGCGTATATATAAACTTAGTTAGTTTCCCTTTTTTTAGTTTATTATTATATTTTTTTAGGTATACTTTACTATAGCTCGTTTTAAAGGTATTACTAATATTCTAAAGTCTTTTAAAGATTCTTTTTCTATCTATACTTAGACTAGGGACGGGTACGAGTTTGATAATCGAACCGAACCGACCCGAACCCGACCGAGTTGCTACCGGTCGGGTATTTATCAAATTCAAACAAGTCGATTTGGGTCGGGTATCACCTAGATACCTAGTCGGGTATTAAAATATTGATTACTAAGCCAAAATCTAATTAATAATTAATAATTAAGCTTTAAATTACTCTATTTAGTTAGTCTAATATCTATAAATAAACAAAAATTCTAAAAATAGGCTAATCTAACTAAATTAGGAACTAAATAAGAAGATCAATATAATCGACTCGTACCTGGTCAATACTCGACTTATTTGATACCCAAACTCGCGGGTACGGAATGATATAGATACCCGCCGGGTCGAGGTGGAATAGGCCAAAAACCCGGCCCGAACCGACCCGTCCCCAGTCTATCTATACTTATATATTAAAAGAAAATATTATAAAAATTAGTATCGCGATGCCTTTCTATTATATTTACTATTTAAAGAATAGTAACCTCTATATTATTATCTTATTCTATAAAGTATTTAAAGTATATCTATATAGGTTATCCTTATATTTATAATTATGTACTTTTTTTATTTAACTAGGTCAAAGTTTAATATAAAAAGGAAAAGTTAGAGTTAAAAAAGTATAAAGCTTGTAAGGAATCTTAATAAATTTATAAAGTCTTTTCAAAAGTATTAAATAATTCTAATACCTATTTTAATTATCTTACTTATTAATATAAGTTCCTTTAGAATTATATTAATAGATTTATTAAATTATCTATTAAGACTATAAAAGAGTTAGAAAAGCTAAAGGAAGAGAAGAGTTATTTAGCTAAACTCTAAGAATATGATTTCTAATAGCTTCTAAGTAAATTAGGTTCTTTATTTAACCTTACTTTATTTGTAGATTCTACTCTATTAGTCTCTTCTTTTAATACTAAGTTTATTAGTGAAATTCCTTTATTAGGCGTGGTAAATCCTTTAAGTATTTAGCTAGCTTATAAGTATTTTCTAAGAAGTTATATTCTTTCTATTTAACTAAGTAGTAAGTTTATCTATTAATTACTTTCTTATCTAGGATCTTTTTAACTTTGTATTCTTTTTCTTAATTTTTTAGTTATATTTTTAATTTATATAGTTTAGTATTCTAGAGTACTTTTTTAATTAATAAGATATAAAATATTAGGTATATTTATATATATTCTAAGAGTTAGAGTTTATAATTAAGTTACCTAATTTTCTTTAAGATTTTAAATAGTTCTAGTTTCTTATAGTCTAATTTATTATTTAGTCTCTATATTTTAATATTTTATTAAAGTAGAAATACTTTTTCCCCCTTTTTAAAATCTAATACTTTTATATACCATTAGTTATAGTAGTATTTTATTTTATAGTTTAAGAATTTAAGGTCTAACTATAGGTATTTATAGAGTTTATATATCTATTCTACTAAAACCTCTATATTTAAGGTGTGTGTTCTACCTTCTTTTAATATTTTTATTATTTCTAATTCTCTTTTATAGTTTATAAAGAAAGGTATTATACCTATTAAGGCGTTCTTCGCTCTATTATAGGCGAGCTATACTATTAGTAGTAGTAAAACCTAGTTATCCTATTTATAGTTAATATATTATCTTAGGTACTATTCTACTATTTAGTTTATTCTTTTACTTTATTTATCTATCTATAAATAATATACTATTAAAGTTTTTTATTTAATCTCTATTCTTTTAATAAATATTATCTAGAATTTATATATAAATCCTATATCTCTATTTAATATAATTTTATCTAGTAATTCTTTATTTATAAAGATATATTATAATAGGATATATATTATTTTTAGTAATATAGTTTTTTTAATAAATAGTATAATTTCGCCTTGCGCGAGCGCGGCGCGATCCGGCCGTCGTCCCGTTCGGGTTTGGCGCCTCCAGTTTGGGTTTGGCGCGTCCCGTTGCGGTTTGGCGTCACCTGCCGGCCCCTGCTCCGTCTGTGACGTCGCTCCGCTCGACTATATAAATCTCTCCATCGCACACGCACTTCCCTCCTCCCTCTTCTTTTCTTTCCTTCTCTTCGTCTCCGTCGTCGCCGTCTGCCTGCGTCGCCTCCCGTCCCCCCATTTTCTCTTTGCCCTTGCTTTTTTTTCCCTATACCCATGCTGCATGCGCGAATATTCGACCGGCTACCCACCCATCACCTTTGGGGACCCAATTTTTCATTGTCTGCCCGGCACGTCCACCCGTTTCGCACCCTTCGTCTTCCCTGAATTCCCATTTGTATCCTCTTCCCGTATCCGCTGGCTGTGCCGCGCGCCGTCTGCAATCGCTCCCTCACCATCTCTCGCCGGTGGTTGACATCCTTTCCTCGCCTTCTCGTCTCTGGCTCGCCGGCATGCGCATTCTCACCGCCAGCTGGAAACGTGCTCGGAACCTGCGCCCCCTTCGTCCCCTGCACTCCCTCGCTCGGCAGCTGATCTTCATGGGCCTATGATGAGATTGCTAAGATGACTTGTTTCGTGTGAAACCCCTCAACCCGGCCCCCCCTACCAAATCTCCTCGGCTGGGGATATGGCGGACTCCGAGGGAGGTGCAAGCGGTGCATAGAGGCCATTTGGCCCCGAACCGGCCCTGGGACGCCATGTCTCGTCGCGGCACAGGCGGCGCAGCCAGCTGACGTGCCCGCGCTTTCAACAAGCACGCATCCCCCCTCAGCCCCGGCCATTGCAGGCCACACGGGGGCTATGTCATGCGGGAGATATCACACGGGCTGTATCGTGGCCCAATGGCATAAATGCCTCATTGCAGTGAACCTCTGGCCGGCCTCCGGGCCCCCGCATCTCAATTTATTTTCCCTCGTCGCATGTGCGTTCCAACATCTACAATTGAGGCACGAACAGGGAGTCCGTGGCAAGATCAACCCTGGCAGGGAGCTGAGACCTTCGGAATCGCCGCATCGTCAGCACACCTGCATATTCAGTCCCGTCTGCCACCTATCCTACTGTGCGCCGGTCCATGTTTAGGGGCTGTGAGAAAAGGAGTGGCAAGGCGTTCTTTGTACACCCTGGGAATCGCTCCGGGTCAGGGTCCTCCAGGCCCCATATCGTTGTTTCCAACCGTCTATATAACCCGGACAGTCTCCCTTCAGTGTCCAACTCCAGCTACCATCTCACAGAGTCCCCAGGAGAAGCGAGATCGCGAAAATGGCCATCTCTCTGGACGAGATCGAAGTTCACACGCCATCTTCCTTCCAAGCCGGGCGTATGCCCAAATGCACCACCCGCGCACACCCCGTTCCGCAGGACACTTCCTTCGCTGCACCACACACACTTGCCTTCCCCCAGCCCACTGCTCCGCGAACCCAGCTGAATCCCCTTCCCCCGAGGCCGTCAGTGGCGGCCGACCCCCCTCTCCCTAGATCCGGACTCCTTCTCTCCACACCTCCCCAGCACCCATTGCCCCCCAAGCCCCAGCCCCCGACGATGTCCACATCCGGGCCCCTCTGGGGATTAAGCGAAAAACAGGAGCAGCATGCACCGGCACGGGTGCCGGACACGCGTCCTGGCTCTGCATTCGACAGGGCATTCGAGGAAATTGAGGTCCTCGACCTGACGGGGACCAGTTCCGTCAGCGACGAAGCGCCGGGGTACCCGTCTGGGGATGCTTATGTGGAGCCTGTCGGTGAACGCGTCCCCAGGGCCCAGTTGGTCGAATGTGTCGACCTGCCCGTTAGCCCGCTCGAAGGCGACAGAGCCGCGCTGGACGACATGAGGCAACCAGACTCATCAGGTATGATTCCCCCCCCTCCCTTTCCTGAGCCCTCTCCTGCTCCTGCCACCTGCCATATACGCGTGACCTTCTACATCCTCTGTGTCGTGCATGTGCTGACCCTACTTCTCCTCTGACAGGCGAACCCGTCTCGATCGATTCTGACGACCGCGGCGGCGTTCGTAATCCACTGGAAATCGGGTACCGCTCGAGTCCCCGGAAGTCTCGTGGTGACGCTCAGACGTCTCGAATGTGCCTCGACGGCCAGAAAGATGGCGCGAGGAGGAAAGGGCAACCGCGGCCGCCTCCTATGGTGGCGGTCCAGGTACAGATACCTTCACGCCGTAATTCCGTGCGGGTTGACTCCAGTCGAGCCTCGACGACTGTCGACAGTGAAGTTGCGGATAGTGAAGATGCGGACCGTGATGACACCGGAGACAGCGACTCACTCAGCGGGGAAGACGAGAGCTACGCGTGTGCCGCGCCATCGAAACGGCGCAGGATATCTACGCCTCCGAACCCGGCGAAAACCCAAGGTGCCGTAACCCGCCTCCTCGCTGCAACGAGTGTGAGGAAAGAAGCTCGCGTTGCGGAGGGTCCTCGCGGCTCCGGCGTCGCGTTCACAGAGGAGGAACTCAAGCTGGCGGCTGCCGTCACCTCTGCCGTGATGGAGGTCGTGGCCAAGCACCGTATGGGCCGCTCACTGGCCGACGTGAGTTTAGCTCGAGTTGCGACGAGCGCGACGGCGTGTGTAGATGGCGCAGAGCGTGGGTCGAGTAAGGGGTGCGCGGACGCCGGTGGCGCCGTGTCTAGCAAGGGAATGGAGGAGAGGAAGTGGAAGAGGGGTCGATGGTCCAGGGACGAGGATGCGCTCCTCCTACCTCTGGTCCGGGAGTGCCGTCCCTTGGCCGAAGTCGCCGTCGAGAGACTTTTTCCTCTAAGAATCCCTTCGTCCGTGGAGAAGAGGTATGCAGCCTTGCGAGAACAGGAGAAGAAAAAGGAGAGGGAGAAGGAGAGAGGGGGCAAGAAGCGTGAGCGATCTCCTCGATAGATCTACCGTATGCGCTGTGCAATCCCTCAATATAGATCCAAGTTATCTACTTTCCGCGCTCTATGGCGCTCTCTACCAGTCAACGACAAACGTTTTGGCTACCGCGTCAGCGGCAAGCCCCCTCAGCCCCGCACCCCGGCCCGTACCGCTGGCTTTAACATCCGCGCCGTCCGCCCCGTTAAGGCCTACGGCCAGCTTAAACCCTGCCCCAGAGCCCGTTGAGGCCTCCAAAGCTGCTACCGCAGTCGTGACCACCGACACCATGGTTGGGACCAGCCTCAGGGAGCTGCCGCTAGAGATAGTCACCCTGATATTGGATCATCTATATGTATGTAGTCCAATAGTTGACCGTCCGTAGCTCGCCTCGTTCCCTTTGCTAAAGAGACAAGATTAACTTGTAAACCCCCTTATATTATCCAACGGCTTTCGGAATTCTCTTTTTTCTCCAGTTTGTGTACCTTCTTTCATGTTGGAGAAATAACTTCCATCTGAGAAAAACAGGCGTCGGATCCCGTATACCAGCTGTGGGGTCTTTGAACAGGATGTAGGCCCGACCCAGCTGTATGATCCATTAGCCACAGCATGTAGTACTTGGAGTAAGAGTACTCACGATCGGATGCCCACATCTGCCTACCTCACCGGGAGAGTGTGCATTAGCCGGCACGGCCAAAGATAGGGGAGTTGGGACTCGGGGTATAAGCATGGCTTTGGGAGCATGCAAGAGGATCTATCTGACTTTTGCAGACACGTTTTCAAGCAAACTGGCGGAGAGTATCAATAAGAAATAATTTCAGGATGCTCTCTCATTATATGGGATAAATCCTCCGGGCCATGAGCCCCGCGCCTCCGCGACATGCGAGTGTACAACGACAGAGAATCAAACCTCGCAAACGTAGGTAGGTCAATTCCAAGCTTTTTCAAATCCCGTAACCCTTGACGCTCTGAAAGGCTCGGTCACACGTATGGTGACTGGATGCAATGGATATTCAGGCACGCTGCGATGGAAAGCAACCCTAAGCCTCTGAATATCTCTTTATTCAAGAGGATCAGACGAAGGAGCTGCAGGGAAAGGGTGCACCATCCGCATTAGCTCCACTCTACTAGGAGAATTCATGTAGCGGCTCCGAAGAATATTTGCCAAGCCCCCGCGGCAAGCCCTCAGAGCTTCCAGGGTGCGTGGTGGCCCCACAGAAGCTGCGTCTACAGTCCACTAGATATAACCCTCGTAAGCTAAAATATGCACAGCATTACCTCAACGCAACGAATAACATAACGACTAGATTGCATTAACATCGCCGCTTTGGCTTAACTACTATTGGGCTGTGAGTCATATCCCACTAATTAACGACACTCCCGGCTCATACCACCTAAATCACGTTCCAAAAAGAACTTGGGTGTGTAGTTTTGACAAATTCAAAGATTTTCGATGTAGTAAAGGATTCACACACAACTTGTTGGGTCTGCTGCCAAACTCCATGATAAAACTCCTTCCGCCGGTCCCAATCGGTTAATTGGCTTCTGGGCATAATGTTTGTGAGAAATTTTTCCTCTTTAAGTTTGCTGCTGAGGACTGTTCTCTCTTTCAGTAGTAAACCGAAAAATAGTGGAGCACCAATTTCCATAGCCAAGTCGTACGGGTCGTCATCTGGCGGCTGATTTCCGATAATGTCCCCAGGGAGAGAGACACACCTATATATCGGTCAGCGAGCGGGATTTGAGCTGTTTAAAGGGTACATGGATATATACCAATAATAATTAGAACGCCTCTCAGGCCTATACCTAGCGATCAGTATCGGCCAGCCATAGGTTTTGACGCCAACTTACGAGTTAAATAATATTGTAGCAACCACTCCTATACCCAGCTGTCGAAGAAATTCCTGGTCCACAGAAGGCAGGTCTTTATAATAAGAGGCACCTGAGCTTATTTCGATGCCATCCTGCCGTAAAACGTTCCACTTCACAGCTCGAGGCTCTGTGTGACGTGCTCCAGCTCCAACATTTTTATACAAGGGGAAAACTTGCTATAAGATCCATTAGCATGCGTATAGAGGATGTGCTTGGGCCTGACACTTACCATCTGTCTAGCCCCTTCCATAATGAGACGTATACCCGAGTATTCTGTCAAATTGGTGAGCAGGAAAGATAATAATGGGAGTGCAGAGCTGTCCACTTTATATTCGCGCGAGACTCTCATTGCCAGGCTTCGCAGGGCTTCAAGATATGTAGACCTGGGGAGAGTTGAGTGGCGCGAATATGTATCGGGTCCCACTACTGCATTGTGCACCAAGTCAAGAAAGTTCCTTTCCCCTTACTAGCCCTTTCGCCTATAGGCGAATGCATTTCCACGCATGCTTGTGTATACGAGGATTCTTTATGCCTCGGAGCTCAAGGCGTTGTTTGGCTGAGGGAGGTTATTTTAGGCAAAAGTCCAGGCACGCCACAACCTGCCTTTTTCGTATCTAGGAAGGCAAGGTGTCGTCCGCCATTTAGGCCCACCCTCTCAGCGGCCCAGGCCCCAGAAGGGTGCTGCCAGATCTTCTTTTGATAAGGTTGACCCGCAGGTTTTAGTTAAGTTACGAGGCTCATATTTTACAAAACGCTTTTACAAGGGATCGTTGGCTCATTCTCGATACTTATTGTGACTAGCTGGTTTGGGCACCCTGCGCCCTTGATCCCTTCTGGGGGACAGGGCCAGTAACTCGCTTGCTTATGGACGTTTCCCCCGATGTTGATATTCTGACAACCTGGATACATATTTCCAAATTACTTCCTCTGTCGCCTCTATACCAGGGAAGTTAGGCCGCACGATTGTATTGAAGTAGTGAACCATATCGGGCTGCTTGCTTATGGAATCACACACTCTTTGTACCCACTGGTCATCGACTGGGGTCCTGATAATGATAGGAGCTATACGGTGTATTGATTCAAGCAAGCCCTTTTCCGCCGAGATAACCTCATACGTCGCAGAAGGAGTTTGAACCTTGTGGGTAACGACAACTCTAGATTCTCGTTAGCTCTGAGTCATGGTATTCGATAGGATAGGCCTACATATACAGGTCATCTGCATAAAGATGCGATATGTCAGGGTGAAGAATTTTCCTAAAAGCCTGTTAGTATACTTGAAGTTTAGAGCGCCAGGTTTTACATACCTAGGCACCTTAAAGAGTACCGCCGACTTTGGAGGGCATGATCCGACAGCAGATGCTAGAAACATAAAGAGAGAGTCCGGTATTGGTCCGCTGGTGGGCTGCGGCGCTCCAATTAGCTCTGTAATTAGATCTTTTCTGTCGTAATTCCATTCCTGTAGCGGTCCCTCATGGACCAAATGTACACCGCAGTAGATGAAATATTTTAATTGACGGCAGGTGACGGCAGAATCGCTCCATCTACTATCATCGATGCGGATTAGTATCAGCGGGAGAACGGCTATTCCTAGTTTCGGAAAACTGCGTAAATGTTGAGAGATTCTCCACTGGATCCTTCGCTGTAGTTATGGCAGGTTAGGTTTCATTCTAATAAGCTGGTACCCATGATTGCGTACCTTGCACATGTCCACCATGGGCCGGCCAACTGTCTGGCTTGGCTTCTGGTCGTTCCAGAAGCCGGCATTGTCGGAATCGTAGGTGTCCTGGGAGAAGAACGACAGTATAAGAGAATCCTCATACTCTGAAAAGTATTCTCCGATGCAGTTAAGAATGTCACGTAGTTCATTGTCTTCAATTAGCCAGTTGAGGGTTGTCTCGTAGTCGGGTATTAGATGCTCTGAATTTAAAGGAAGGGTCGAAACGATGACTGCGGCAGCAGCACGAACCGCATAACCGAAAAACATATTCATACTTGATGACGAGCGGTAGAGGCGAATTCAGAGCTGGAATACAAGTGCCAGTTGGTTACTCTCATGAGAGCTGGGCCATAAGTATAGGCTCAAGGACCTAGGGCGCAAGTATGGCTTCGGAAACAGGCAGGGAGAGAGACGTAGGAGCTTGTGTCGCAGGATATTGCTCCATTATATAGGATAAAAGACCACAAAAACCGGCTGTCCATAGTGGGCAAAAGTGTGGAATGACAGAGTGATGGTATTCAAGGACCGTCAAGAGAGATAAAGGCGTGGGACTGGGGGGCTCGGGAAGTTGTCTTATGGGTGATAGCTGGATCTAATGATCAAGCATTGTCGATGTAAAGGAGTGTGCTACAGGCCCTAGTTGTATCAAGCGCTTCGGGCGAAGGGCCCACAGCGAAAGACTTTCCTTTTTCTATGTGGAGAAATCCTGGATCCAGTGGCTCCTTGGCTCTACTCACCCACTAATATTGTGGAGGCTTGGCAGGTACTTTTTTAGTGCCTGAGCCGCAACGGGCAAGCCAGTTGTGCCGCGTACAGAACTTCCTTTCATATTATCCTGAAATAAGGCATACAAATTCGCAGTCACGTAGCTAGCCAGAAATAAAAATAGCGAATAAGAGAACCTAGCTAATCGTACAAGTCACGGCTTGCAGCGGCGAAGCCTGGCTCCGGAATATCAATTGAACTGAAGGAAAGTGCCGATTTAATGTGGGAATAATCTAGAGTTCTATCCTCCGCAGCCACATCACGCGCAATCGATACTATGTTTCTAATCTAAAAGAACAATTAGCGGCGATGTTGGTGTATCTCCAATTCAAAGTTTCCATACCTGTCGCCCGTTTAATTTTAGCTCAGCCAAGGAGTTAAACTGGATTTCGCTGATGCCGGCGCCGGCAAGGAACTGCCTGAATATATCTCGCCTAGCGTCAAGTGTGAGGTCACTGTAGGGAAAAGTCAGGTGAATTCGGCTCAAAACAGCCGGGTCGAAGCTCTGTTCCTGATTGGTGGTTAGGAATAGGACTCCTGGGAAATTCTCGAGCGCCTGAAGGAAGGCCGCTACAAGGCGGCTACGTTCGATATTTTCTGGTGACCGTCGTGCTAGGTAGACATCGGCTTCGTCAAATAGGAGGATTGCACCCCAATGCGTTGCTGTTTCGAAGATTTCACGAAGTTGGATTTCTAGGTTGGCTGCATCGGAAGATAGTTGCCCCGTAGATATCTAAGCAGTGAGTATGGGTCCGCTCGATTGGAACAGAGTTAAAACATACCGTATAGAGGGGCCGAAGCTTGCTTTCTGCCAAGGCTTCCACGGTTACCGTTTTGCCAACTCCAGGGGGGCCACTATGCCAGTTAGCGTTTGCTCGAGAAAGGGGCGACCGCCACTCACGTAAGAAGTATGGCTCTTCCACCCCCTTTATTAAAGATAAAATCGTCGGGCTGAACATCTTTCTTCCCCCCCGCAGTAGCTAAATAACGGTCGGCGATAGTGAGTATTGTATCCTTTCGCGTCTGAGGGATGACTACTTGGTTAAATGACTCCTTTGACCATTTAATCTCACTAATGTTATCGATCGCAAACTCGCCTAGCAAGGGGTTAGTTGTGTATATTCCTCAACTGGGCTAAATATCTTACCCCAGAACTTGTCCTTGAAACTGAACCCAAATAGGGTAGGCGCAAAGGAGAGAAAATCGTCCTCTGACAGGTCACTCGTTGTCTTTCCCGAACACTTGAGCCAATCTGTGTCTAGGAGTTTAGGATAGTTTGGATTGACCTGCCGGAACCTGCCGGGGTCGACCATGATCCTCCCTCCGACCAGCAGCCGATATATTTTCCCCTTTTCCGATTCGAAGTAGGCAATCCCCTTGTAGTCGCAGTGTCTACCGGACATCATGCCTATAAAGTTCTTCCCGTTCTCTCGGAGTTGCGACTTCACGTCTTCCTCTGTAGGGTGGTATCGGAGAGGGAAAACCCCAAGTTTGCAGATTGGCACTGCTCCCGGAAAGCGATTGATACAAGCGGTAGTCATAGCCTGGCCGAAATCTCCGCCCTGAAAGTCATAGCAATGGCCGTCCACTTGGAAGTATGGGGTACCCAGCCCTTTCCTTTCTATTCCATGGTCAAATACAAACGTCATCGGCGTCATAGTCCCGGGATGCAGCGTGTACACTCTCTCGCCCGGTTTAAAGAAAGCCCAAAGTAAGTCGTACGTGATTTTGCCTTCGGAAACGAGTGACTGGAGACGGTTTTCAGTCTCTTTATAGGCGGTTTTGATGTGCTCGACAAGTATATTCAAATGTTGAACCGCATCGGCGGAGCATACCCCGGCGTTGGGCGCCTGGGCAACTTGGCCTTCTAGCATAAAAAGGAGGTTGAACAGTAGATCACGAGGAACCTAGAGCCGCGGTCAGTGATTATAGGAACTGGAGGTAGGTCCGCATACCGAAGGCATGTCCCCACCAAGTCTCACTGCTCTGACGCCTCGGAGTAACCACCTAAGTATATCCCGCAAACCCTCTGATTTGATGTCGATATAAACCATTGGTTGAGTGGTATGTATATCTACCCGGCGACGTTAGTAGACGTTAGATAAGCCTGTTCGGTCGATCTTCCACTTACAAGTTCGAGAGCGGACCACAAATAGGTACTCATCCAACTCAGTGACCTTGGGGGTTTCGACTGCTCCTGATATCTTGTACCGCTTCTCCCGCTCGTCCCACCTATTCTCTATGTTAGTCAAACGCCACCACGAGGTCCGATTGACTTACACCTCCTCCACAGCCTTGTATTCCAGCTTGGAAGCCCGGACCCTCTGCGTAACGATTCCCGCCTCGGCCATCTCGTTCGGTCCCGGCCCTGGCCCAATACTCTGGCCGGCGGTAAATTTTTTCCGAAGGGGGGACAACGCAGCGCCGGCAAATCCGTCTTCAACCGAAAGGTTGCGTGTACTGAAATCACCTCCGGAGGGCTGTACCCCCGTTGAGGGGGAAGTTGGGTGCTCGGGGGAAGCTTGGCCGGTAGACATTGTGAATGTGGTAGGGGGCTTATACCTAAAGGTTGGAGTTGAGGGTTGAGTGACAGATTTTACATCAATATTAAAGGACATGTTGCTCTTTATATCTCAATCGATATGTTAGGAAGGAGGGCGCAACTGAAAGTAAACCGAACTAGAACCAAGATAAGGCTTACACTAGCCTTGGCGGCGCAAAGAGTCTGCATGGAAAGATAATTGGAAGGTGTTGTTGCCAAGTTTGCTTCAGTTAAAGAGCTAGACCGAAATAGGGTTTAAAAATACACACAATGCCAAAGGAACAGGGATAACAGTTATGGGACTCCAGGGTAAACCTCCTTTCCCCAGTAGCGGAGAAGAACACGCCAGTCACAGGGTTCTGTAGCCTTCTCCGCTCCCTTTGACTCGAGAAACACATCTACGCTTGATAAACACACGCTTTCAGAGTACTCCTTTCCCTCCAGCCTTACAACGGCCAAGACAGGATACCCCCCGTCAACCATTTCCTCCACCATTCCCCCATAAGCCTCCACATGTACGGATGTGGGGTCAGATATTAGCTTTCGGCCCAACCTTGTACTCCAAAGTTAGTGGTGGCAAGCTCGCGGGTAGAGGATGTACACACCTTAGAGGATACTTGGGGATTAACCGTTCGATCTTAGGGGTGCGCTTTTTTCCCTCCCATTGACTGTACGCCGCCCACACCTCCCGCATCTGCGGCAAATCACCCAAGGTGCAGTATCCATCTTTTATATCGCCGGTGCGTGTCCGAACCCTAAGCCGTGGATGCTCTATGTCTTCTCCGTATATTTGAATAACGGCACGTACATCATGTGGGAAGAGACGATCTCCTGGCGGTCTATAGTTCTTCATCAGTGCGAAACCACGTAGTGGAGAACAACGCTCGCTCACTGGGCAGGTACGAAACTCGATTTCTTCCGACGCGCACCCAGACACTGTGCTATTTGGGAAACTAGTGAATATAGGCGGGCAGCCTCTGCGCCACGGTTGTTTGAGTTAGAAGTATCGTTGTCTGCATAGTGTTAGACTTTACGACATGAGAGGGGTCACAGAATGCGATACGTACCTTGGGTAGGTGGGGGAAGAGCGCTAGGCGACTCCAGCTGCGCCCCCAAACACTGGGTTAGCCAGCCAGAACTGAACATATTGTGGAGCAGCCAAAGAAAAGTGCAAAAAAGTAGGCGTAAACAGGCGAAACGCACGGTTCGTATGGGGCAGAAAGGCGGCCATATCCAAGGGGCGGTGAGCTTTCTATATAGGTCCTATCGATGAATCTAAGTAACCAATTCATTGTTCCGTCAGTCTATGTATGTATGCCAAAAGAGTACAGGGTAAATAACGAACTACTCGTTGCAGAATGCTTTTGGCCAACCACCGTGCAGATTCTTAGCATCAATGCTAAGAATCTGCACGGTGGTTGGCCAAACTCTCATTTAACTCCACTCTTCGTAGGCACCGTCGAGGAGACGAAAGAAAGGTCTTTTATCAGGGGGTAGATCGTATCTGCTCCTTGTTTGTGGGGGATTTCCCTACAGCCATGTTTTTGGAGGCGCCTTGCAACCTTATTGCGTAACTCTCGAGACCACTAGGCTGATGGTAGAGCACTACGGATAAAAGGCCGCTCACTCTATACGAGCCCTGTCCCTATAGAGGAATGCCATACGGAGTATGTTGTACGGAATTATTCCCACGACTTCCCCTTTCCAATTCTTAATAAAGCGACATGGGTATTTCTTTCTTTTATGACTTCAAACCCCTCCGTAATACGTGAAACGCCACATAACAGCATAGATATTGTACAGAGAAGTCTGGTCGGGTTCACGGTTTAGAAGGCCAACCGCCAGGTGGATTATATAGCCGAAACCGCGAGCCGAGGAGGATGAGATACCCCCACGATTGAGCTCCATGCGTCTGAATTTCGTGTGACTCAAACTCAAACGCTATCTGGTGAAAACGTATCGAAACCCTTGTAAGTTGGAATCCTACCAACTACAAGGCCCCACTAGGCTGGCCGTCCCCTTTAACCTCTAACCCAAATCTGTCAAACTCAAATACCATTGCATAATACGGAGTATACTTAAATGCAGAAGCTGGACGCGGTAGGAGTCGGTATTGGCGGGCTCCTCTTTGAGGCAAGATTTGGCCAACCAGCGTGCAGGTTCTTAGCATCGATGCTAAGAACCTGCACGCTGGTTGGCCAAAATCCTCCACCGTTTCCGCTCTTCAGGGACGCCCGTCCCTAAAAGGGTCACGTGGTACGGGCATATCCACTGGGTTTGGACAGCCAGCGAGGTTTTCTCTTTCTTCTCTCATACAACGGAAAAAAAAAATATTCAGGAATGCCTAACTTTACGCCTCCCCCCGAGCTGCAACATGCTCTGGAAATTATCGCCAATGCTTCTCCCGAAATACTCTATGCCTGTCGCGATTTGGATGCCTGGAAATCTGCTAAGGCAGTTGTTGACTCTATTGATAGCGAAGAGTCGCCTAATACCGATGTCGATTCAGAGACCTCAACAGACGGTGTGGAGATGTATCCATCTTCTTCCCTAGCGTCATCGAGCAGCAGCTTCGTGTGCCATCCAGCACCCAGCAATTCCTCCTTGGTGCCTTCGGGTTCGTCCATCGCCATCCCCAACCCACTACCGCCTGTAGAAAGATCGTCAACCGCAGAGAGCCCGAAACGCACACCTAAGATCAACTGTGAAAAGTTCCTCGATGAAGTGAGGGGTGCTTTGACAAAGCTTGAGAAGTTTTCGGAAGATTACCCAAACCTGGCTTCAATTTCACTGGAGGAAAGGCAGGCGGGCGTTGACCTGCGCATACATTACTTAAGGATCATCGACGGTAATAATTCTCCCAGCGAGGTAGAGATAGTCCTTAGGGGACTCGCTCAGCTCTCGTATGCCTCAAGTTTTTCCACTTGGGAAACGCAATCAAAAGTTGGTGACAGGGTGAAAGATATCTGCTCCAAATTATCAAGTGTGCCTAGGAAAAATGGGAATATTACTCGTTATGCGAGAACAAGCTGTTCTAGGTATACAGCTGTGGTTAATAGGGGGATAAGAGAGGGTATAAACAAGATGGCCTTCGCGAAACTATTGCAAAGGAGGGCTGGAAGGAACACCGTGGAAGGAATGCTTGCCATTCTAATATTCATTTATACGAAGTCTCGGTTACTGACTTTCGATCAATACCCCAAAATTATTAATATGATACTCCCGATGGATGAACCCGATGAGGATGAACCCGATGAGGATGAACCCAATGAGGATGAACCGGGTTCCATGATCTATCGTATCAAGGCCCTATCGCCATGGTTTGCACGTCTAAGAAATAGATTTGAGTTGCTCCGCCGAGGTAAGAATATGTCTAGGTATTATTTAATCAACCTAACACCTGATGATCAGTTCCTCCCGAGAACGCTGGCCCTGAGATAGGTTCGCCCATTCCAACGCGTGATCCGATGATTGCGACGAGCAGCGTAGCATTCGATAGAACACCCCCTACGAACGTTCGGGACCCATCGACACAGAGCCCTCTTCTCGATGCGCAAAACGAAAAGACTTGTTCGGGCAATGATTACGTCGGTGATGCCGGAGGCGAAGGCTATCTCAGCTGGCAAGGTGGCCAGAGCTCCTTGCCAACGCTAGCTCCAAGATATACACGCGACGATGTACCATCTGCTGGCTCCTCCAGCCTATCGCTGCAGAATAACCAGGCAGCTGGTAACCCTACTATATATCCCCAATACCCAGGGCAACCCCGCACGAACGAAGCGAACAAGCGGCCCTACTCAGTAGAGATTATTAGCGGACACCAGATGCCGCAGCGTAGGAGATTGAGTGGAGATGGTGGAGGTAATGAACTCGCAGGCCATGGCACAGAGATTGAGCTGACTTGCTGTATAGGCGTTCTCACTTCCACCAGTAGCGTTCTCATACCTTATTCTGAAAGGAACTCTGACCGGGCCCTCGAGACTAATATGCGTGAAGAGATGACTGAAGACGATACTAGCAGGCTAGGGCTTCCTGATAGCAGGCCAGATCAGTTTCTCGAAGCAGCAGGATATGACAGGAGTAAGTTTAAATCCAATATGAATATACTGCGTCTGTGCTAAGTGTTTTAAGACATCTATAGGAATGATATATCCAGAAGTGAGTTTGAACGGCCCGTTTTTTACTTTCCTTTACTAAAAATATTAGCCAGTGGATTTGCGTCGCGCCACAGTGTGATGGATAACACAGTCCAAGCCACAGATGGAGGAATCGCGCTACGTTGTAGGAATATGACAATTCAACATATGCTATGCCCGCCCTATGAAAGTAGCCACCAGGGTTACCCGCGTCGTTCAACTCAAAATACCGCCGAAGCCCCAAGGAGAAACATTAATTACTTGGAAACGGGATCTAATGCACCAGGGACGAACCAACAATACATTGAACAGAACATTGAGCCTTTGGTTCCAGGTGAGTCTAAAAAAGGTCTATAGTATATAGGGGCTAACCAATTCTAGGACAAACGAGGGGAGTGACAAATTTTAACGACACAGATCAGGCATTCGGCACGACCACCAACCTAGAGTTGGGCGGCTTTAACGACACACACCAGGCGTTCGGCGCGACCAACCTGGAGTTGGGCGGCTTTAACGACACAAACCAGGCGTTCGGCGCGACCAACCTGGAGTTGGGCGGCTTTAACGACACAGATCAGGCATTCGGCACGACCAACCTAGAGTTGGGCGGCTTTAACGACACAAACCAGGCATTCGGCACGACCAACCTAGAGTTGGGCGGCTTTAACGACACAAACCAGGCGTTCGGCGCGACCAACCTGGAGTTGGGCGGCTTTAACGACACAGATCAGGCATTCGGCACGACCAACCTAGAGTTGGGCGGCTTTAACGACACAAACCAGGCGTTCGGCGCGACTAACCTGGAGTTGGACGGCTTCAACGACACGAATCAGGTATTTAACACGGCCCTTTGGTCGACTACTTATTTTGGCAACCAAGCCGCCAATACGAATGGTCTGGGAGTGAACGTTTCGGTGATATAAATATAATGTCCGCTATACGCAATTTATATTTCGTATGCATAAGCAACTAGCATAGTTATACTAAGTTTTTCGGGCTTCGAGCATGTGACGTAATAGTTTAACCCCACCATGATATCTATAACCCCACCTCTCGAATTATTTTCCACATTCTATTTTCCTATTTAAGGCAGGCTCGGAACATAAGCCCTGATATATTCTTGCAACACCCGTCGCTACCAGCTCATAAACATGTCCACGGAAAACAACCACAGCCCTTTGGTGCAGAGTTTCACGAAGAACTCCGACTGCAAACAGTACATACAAGACGTTGAAGGGGAAGTGTTAAACGATGTGAAAAAGTGTCTTCCTGGAAGCCTAATAAGATCTTTGAATGCGACACTTACTTGCGGGAAGGTGGCTGCTCAAATCATTGGGGAGACTTGGAAGGTAAGCCGTAATACTCCATTTAGAGGAATCGAGCTAACGCTTCATATAGGACTACATGTGGAAAATTCTCGTCTACTTTCCTGGAAAACCTACGATTGGAAAAACATTTACCATCATGGTCCCGCTTACCGAATTTGGTTCTCTAACAATAACGGCTAAAAATCTCCTTGGCCATTCTAAGTCCTTGAGATTGGAGGATCAGTACTATTATTTCAACGAGGAATGCAAACTTGAAATTAGCGGTGATGGTCGGTTTGCCGCTTTGGTTGGGGTTCCGTCTTCATAGGTTGCAAACTTTTCATGTTCAATGCTGAACCTATAACGAACAAAAGAATAAACCGGTGCCTAACATTAATCCGATTCACGAATCCTTAGTATGTCTTCGGAAATGTGATCAGTAGTATTAGCAACATATCCTCTGTCGGCTCTCCGAAAGTCGGGTATATAAGGGTCAGCTTCCGTCTAATGCATTTAGATTAAAATCGGCATCATCTCTCTTCTAGTTCCCCTATACATTTATCGCAGTTAAGAATGCCTCAGCCATTAAGCTTCGAGTCCGATATTACTTGCAATAGGCCCGCACTTCTTGGTATTAAAGCAATTTTGAAATACCGTAACCCAGACAAGATCGAACATGAGGAGCTAGAAAGAATCCTACGAGGACTCCCTGAAGGTACGGAAGCTCAACTAAAGCTGGTTGTGCAGTGGTTTGGCGTAGACGCAAACACGTCTGAGGAAGCAAAGTCATTTAATGATCTTGTCGAATTCACGAGCCCGAAAACTAAGGAGAGCGAGAGAGTGGAGCGCCTTCGACGTGTGTGGAACGAATCCGAATTCGAACCCAGAGAGACACTGGGGCGGTTCACCACTAGATTTAACGACAGTATAGTAAGTCATGCCAGGTTATCGAAATTCTTAGGCTGACTTGGGAAATAGATGAAAATAAGAGAACAGTATCGCGAGAACGCAATGCAGGAATTACGAGAAACTATAATCGAGAGGAGTCTCAACATAATTGAGAGAAGCTATCAACAAAGAGAGTGTACGTTTTCGTCAGTTTCAAGAAATTCTATCTCCAAAATTATCCCTCTAATAATGATATTCTAGAAGTCGAGCACGACCAACACAGCGACAGAGAGAGTAGCGAGAAAGAAGGCAGGAGAAATCGTAGGAGAAATCATAACTGAATACATTTGTTTTTTATCAGATCATGTGATCTCGGTATCATTGGTTGCCTTAATGAGTTAAACTTCAGAGTCATGTTGTTACGTTGTGAGTTAAAGTTTCTTCCTAGGAGGTCCCATCTCGTCTCATAATGTGTAGGCCTTATCGATAGAAGTGAGTTTCGGGCTCGTATACTCTACTAGAGGGAATCATCTCTCCTCCCGTGGCATTCATGGTTATGGACCCATGTCACGGGCCAGAGTGCTCCTGCTGGTGTACATCCATTTTCCTGTGGACTGTAGTTATGCGGCATGGTGGGTTTCCACTCAGTAAGGGATAGGACATCTGCGATTATCTCGCAATCCAACGGTTAGAATATCGCAAAGGGGAACTAGTATAAAGCATGGCCAATTCGCACTACACCTTGACATTTTTCCAACATGTCACCCTAACCACTCAAGTATCTGTCAACGCGACCTACATTTACCTATTAAAATGCTACCAGAACGATCATTAAGGCGTTGTGCTTCCACCTCGGATCTTAGCCATCCTCCTATTAGCTATGACAGCCAGGACGACCAGATAGCCGTTCTCGATCACCTGCAGAAGTTACATGACGAAGTCGTTACAGGGCATGAGAGTCGGAACAGAAAACTTTCAGAGGAGTACGCAATACTAGAAAAGCGGTACACCGAACAACAGCTAGCGGCTAAACTGTCAAAGAGCACCGAAAAGTCGAGGAAGAAAGGTGCCGCGGAGAGGGCGCGGGCGCGTGATGATGAAATCGCTCGTCTTACAGAGGAACTCCAATGTGAAATGGATCGAAATGAGGCCCTTGAAGATTATATAACGCAGGCAAACAAGTTTGCTCATACCACAAATGAAGATATTCGGTATTTGAAGTTCCAGCTAGAGCGTGTACGTCGCCAACGAGAAGAGAAGGAGAGTCGTGCTAGCCGCCTGGCTTCATCAAACACGGCTCTCCGAGATAGAATCGCAGCAACGACGAAAGAGATGGAGGAGCGCAAGCATGAGCAAGAGATAGTTGAAAGACGATTGGGGGATAATGCCGTGCAAGCCCAGAAGAAGGCAGGCTTAGCGCTTATCCAACGTGACTTGGAGCGAGCCCGGCGGGAGGCGGGGGTACCTTTTTCCCCCGAAGCTCAGGCTTTTGATGACAAAGCCCTCTGCGCACTTGCTGCATCGGACCTGGATATAGGAAGCGGAGCCAAACGAGTAGCGACTCTAGGCCAGCGAAACGGGAATATGGCCACAGTGACTCATGAATCGCGTCTTCTCTCACTAGCTGCAGAGAATAAAGCCCTTAAAGAGCAGGTGGCGCAGCTCAAAAGCCAGAAAGAGCGGCTCAGAGAGGTGAACCAGGCGGTCATCGTAGATGCACATCGCCTTAAGGCAGCGTTAAAGCGACTCTGCGAGCGCACAGGGCTCAATTTCGATGAGATTATTCCTGCCTCGGGATGAATGTTACTCCTATATCGAGTATATATACTGAAAATTAACAGAGGAAGAATCCATGAGTGAATCAACAATTATTTTTTTTCCGTCAGCCGTTTAATCCAAAATAGGGTGGTCTACCACCATGAATGTTGCTCCGGTATGTATGTAACGATAAATATGGAAGAAGAATCTATGGTGAAAATGTGAAAGTAAAATCGCCCAGCGTCGGGCGAGGATGAAACTGTGAATAAGCAAATCTTTGTCTAACCCAAAATCGGCGCCAGGGCCAATCTTATACAGTTTAGTTTGGGGTCACCGGACTAACAATTATCCAGTATTCAGGAGCGAGATTCGCGACGAGCCAGAGAACTGTACCATTCATTGCTTCCATTATGCAAGTTCCCGAACATGTCGCCCACGAGGTCTGAGATAATAAGCAGCCACCCGATCGGGGACCAGCTAGATGCTTTTAAAGATCTATACAGCATCTGCTAGTCTCCAAACGAAACCAATCCTTTGCTTCAGAGAGGAGTCGATGATGGTACCAAGAATACGTTACTGGATTTTCTAATGGCAGTGCAAGCTTTACCTGCTTGCCGCATATTGTCTTCTTCTCGGGGAAGTGGAACGCTTTTCGGTGATATTTCGAGAATTGGTTCCACTATCGATTCAGGCTAGGCTCAAGTTGACCGCCTCCTTCCTCTGTTGAAGGTAGTTCGGGACAAAGAACCTGATGAAATCATATGGAATAAGGTCTACGAGGCTGTTACTGAATTAACTCCTTCTTTCTATCTATTGCACTCTTTCTAGACGCCCTTGACCCGAAATATAGGCAGCTTCGCCAACTCGAGCGAGTTCCGAACCGACACAGACCCCGTGCTAAGGGAGGAGCTGGGCGACATGTATGTTGACATACCAAAGTTCTCCGACACCTTCTTTGGAGATATCCCGCAGCTGCAGACAAACACGATGGCGGTCTTTGAGAGGTGTAAGGAGGGAGAGGAACCGGCTGGAACGGATGGCCCGAGGGTACAAATGAGGCGCCTGTGCTGGCCTGGCTGTCGGATGTTGCTCGGTCCCAGCTCCTTGAGGTGCCAGTTGAGATTAGCCGTATTATCTTTGACTCTTTGGACGTTACAAGCGTCTTTCTCTTAGGCCTTACCTGCCAACGACTCTGGGTAATAGCGAAATCGGTAATTGAGCGGCATTTTGCCGCGTACTTGGGCGCTTGGGCTGGGACACCTATCGTTTGTGTCGGTGACGGAACTTGCCGTGGTAGAAATGTCACTTATCCACAAGGATTACTGCTCCCGGAGGATATTGATGAGCTCCAGGAAGGGTTGAACCTGGACGAGTTAGAGGATGATCTGCTAGATGAATTCGCCGGGAGGCCCGTCAACCTGTACGACATAGCAGATACTCGATACGACATCATCGAGGATCACGGCGTAAGCTTTCCCCAGGACTTGCTAGGCGTCGCTCTCGATTTTACGCACAAATATCCTCGTCCAGCGGATATACTGCGAGTAGCAAATCCAGAACCCTCTTATTTCTACCCCGCCAATCAGGATTGGGTTCTCAGAAATTTGACCACCCAAGAATTTGTTCGTCCTACGGCTATTGCGCTGCACAAGAGCCACATCCGTGGCCCATTTATTGACAAACTTGGCTATGGTGAAGTCATTCTGTCGAGGATTTGTTGGTCCACGGACGATTTTACGTCGATGACTGGAGAGGGGATCCATCAGGGCGTGTGGGCTGGGCATGCTTTAGATATTGTCCCCTCCACTTACTTGGACAGTGGTGGCCCATGGAAAGATATCAGCGACGAGGTTGCAGAGGATGTTGCAGAGATTTGGAAAAGTGAATATGGCGAGGATTGGAGAAATCATATCAGCTAGAATTGGCGAAAACAGCACGGGTGAAATGCAACAGCCCGAAAGTGGAAGCGGGTTCGAGTGCTCGGCACACAATTCCCTGCTCCGTACATATATTTATGTACAAATAGAACCCATAGGAGATACATCGGTATCTCTACATTTGGCATTATATAATGAGGCATCGTTTTACTCAGTTGACTCGGTCCCACCGCCAGCTTCTCAAAACCGAAACACGCCAGGATTATACCCGGTTGAGAGAAAGCCCTTCGTTGGAAATTTCCACGGAGGCAATGAATCATGTGACTAGATTCCTACCAGTAAATCGATCGCTTCTTGGGTGTCATGAACTAGCTAGGCCACGTAAGGTGGTCATCCTGCCGCCAAGCTGCGCCAGGGACCAACCCAAAACGGTTAGTCTTCTCAAGAATTTTTTGTGAGGGACGTCGCCTCTTACGGCGCAGGGCCCTCGTGATATTTCTACCAACAGACTGCACCTGCTTACTGTTGGCAGCTTTCATCCGCCGCCAGCCATCCAGCTTATGTTGCAAGATACCACCCTTGGAGATTTCCAAGGAGACCCACTGTGACGCGTGACCGCACCTATATAACATGGGGAGAACTGCCTGCCTCTTCTGATCCGCCCCTTCTGGACCGTCCCTTCGGGGTTTTTTGGTCTTGAATTGAAAGAAAAGCTATACTTCTCCCCGGCGGCTACATATGTACAGTTCCAGTTTCCTCGATTCTATCTTATTTAACCGCTCATCTTATATAATCACCCGGTGAATATGTGATGGCAAATAATGTTAGGACAGAGAGAGGGAGGGGAAAATCAGAAATGTAAAAGATACTTGGGAATAGGGGCGTATAACTACGACGGCCCACAGAAAGCTTTTGAATGTTTTATAAAATAAATATAAAGCGGTGTCAGAACTTATGGCCCTTTGGTATCTGTTGACCCCTCGAATGTTCTATGACGTACTTGGCCACGTATTTAAAGGTGGTTCCCGCTTCCCGCCGCCAAGGTGCGCCAGGGGTCAACCCAAAAAGGTTAGTGTGGATCTACTCGTGCACCAGTTTTGCCGTTGTAGGTAGATTTCCGCAGCAGGCGGGGAGGTTAGCTAAGCTCGCCACCATATTTCAGAGGAAACCACGTACCAAGCAACACGGGTTACATTGCCAGCTAGGCCGGGACGAGAACCGCCATCTCTGGTGTATAGAGGCTGGCGTACGCGATGGCACGACCCGGGGGGATAAACTAAAGAGCCAGGCTTGTATTAGATAATCTGAGTGCTAATCTAACGTCGGCCGGGGGGCTGCAGAAGAGAATCGCCTCCCCGCGGTGCAGCCTGGGTACTGGAGAGATGCTCTTACGATAGAGATCCTCTTGCTAAATGATTCTCATGGTTGGAGGTGTGGTGGTGGTGACTCGCCTGATGAAGTCAGCGACAAACTGCTTTCGCACAACACAGGACTGCCAACCAAATGGGTATGAAAACCATCCGACGGGTGGCTTCAATCTTCAAAAGGGACCAGATTCTAAGTAGGAAAGGTCATCTCGATGACTCGACTGAAAAAGATGCCCGGAGGCCACCTGAAAGGACACCTGTGGTGGTGTGCAGAGTTTTCACTTGGAAGGAACGTGATGCCCTGCGCTCGCGTACACCCCAAAATCAACAACAACACTTCGATAAAAGTTGGGTGCGAGGGCGTCGTTAAGGGAAAGGCGAAATGAGGATGGGGATAAGTTGCAGAGCGTCGTTAAGGGAACGGGAGGACTGGAGACAGTACTTGGTCGCTAGGAGGCGGCTGCCTTCACCGGTGCAGCGCTCGGAGGAACACTACCACAGCGGAGTGGCCTCTTAGGAGGGATATTAGTGGGACGGCATACTCTGCGGACGAAGTAAAAAGGGATATTCGCCCAGGTACGCTGAACCGGGCAACCTGGCTTATACTCCTGCTGCCGCCCTCCGGCGATCGAACTACGGTACCTACGAAGGATTCCGAACAAATACCACGGAGAAGCTGGCAACTCCCTATGCAAATGGAGCTGGGACTACGGAAGTGCCGGCACTCAGGGCTTCAACAGCCATCGGCTGGGACTTGTTGAGGAGACGAAGATACCATTGGTTAGTGGGCTGGAAACGTTACAGGACGCGCTGCCTGGCTAGGAGTGCCACCTGAGCAGAGCCTGCGAGACACGGTCGGCCCTGTGGAGAGAAGAGATTCGGCAGGGCAACGCGAAGTGATGTAACAGTCATGGGGCGTAGCACATAATGGAGGCGATGGCTGATAGACAAGGACTGTCTACAACACCTTCTATGTGGCTCGAGAGGACGGATGCGCGTGTCGGTCTATGGAAAGGGTATATAGGGCAGCGGGCATGGTGTACCGACATAGGCTTAAGGAGCAAACCATGAAAGGGGCATGGGCGAAGGCTTTGCCGGGGCTGGACCCCCGAAGTAGTGATTGAACGTGAGTCTTCGGGCAAGAGGCGGGATGGACTACGGGGAAGTGTGGTGGAGGCTTGGTCACCTCCTCTTGTATTTAATATTGGTACGGAGGCCTATACTTAGGTTAGGTCCTTCAGCATGCTCTCTGAACCAGAGCAGCTAGTAGCAAATACAATCTTTCATGGCTAGTACCGCCGTGGCAAACGACAATCCAGACCAGCATCGCGGACAGCAAAGAGGAAGCCATCCAAAAACACGACAACTACCTCGACTCCGGTGCCCTAGCTATATACACGGATGGAAGCGTGATAAACGGTAAGGTGGGAGCCTCGGCGGTGACGATAACCCCTGGAGATATACGTCAAGCATATCTGGGAAAGGATACCGAAGCAACCATATTTATGGCAGAACTCCAAGGCATACGGATGGCATTGGATCTGGTGCTAGAAACAAACAGAACGGCCGTCATATTCACTGACAGCCAAGCTGCCATCAAGACAATAGGAAAGCTAGGAATCATGGGTCAGCAGTTCCTCACAGAGATCCTCCGGACGTGGGAACAAATCAAGAATAATGGTCAGGATGTCGAAATTGCCTGGATACCCTCGCACGAGGGAGTCGAAGGGAACGAGCTCGCGGACCAAAAAGCCAAGGAGGCCACAGGCTGGAGGATAGTGCGGAACAGACGCGGCAGGACAACCCAGGCTGATACCGACAACACAGCCAGGAGATTGACGGACCTCAAGGTACCGCTGACATGCCTATTAAGAATAATCAGCTCCCATGTGTACGCGAGGTGGGAGAAGGAGTGGCGAGAGGAGTCCAGAGGACGCGATCTCTACAAGCTGGCGGAAACACCGTTCAGAGGGATCGTAAGCCTGCACGCGAAACTCTCCCGGCCTCTATCCTCCATCTTAACCCAGATGCGGACGGGAAAGATAGGGCTGCGAGACTACCTACTCAATATCAGAGTGCCCCAAGTGGAAGACGACGTCTGCCAGTGCCTGAAAGGGAGGGAGTCGACATCACATCTCCTAAGAGCATGCCCAATTTTCAAGGACCTGAGGAGGGACATATTGTGGCAAGGCGAGTGGACGACCGACCTGAAGAAAATGCTCTCACATAAGAATTATGCGCCAAAGGCTGCAAGATTCATGCTGCATACAAAGCTTCTTGGACAATTTCGAAGCGTAGAAACGGAGGCTTAGCGGGGCAATGAGACCCATAAGCGTATCAGGGCACCACCAGAAGCTGCAGCAGAAATGCGTAGCATCCAGGACCGTACCAGCAAAACATACTATAGGAAAGCTATGTTTTCTTTATGCACATTCTTTTCTCTGAATTTCATTTGTTCAAACTGCACGTTCCTTTACTGTTTATTTAATTTTTCTTCATGTATCTTAGTGCAAGTGGTTAAAGCTGGGGCCACGTGGTAGAACACAGGCTGCATAGCTGCTGACAAAGCGGCTGGGACGGCGTAAATGAATCAATCAATCAATCAATCAATCGTAAATGAATCAATCAATCAATCAATCAATCAATCAATCGTAAATGAATCAATCAATCAATCATAACTAACTAAGTAGGTTGATAAGTAGGCTGATAAGCAGGTTGATAAGCAGGTTGATAAGCAGGTTGATAAGCAGGTTGATGAGTAGGCTGATGAGCAGGTTAGTGAGTAGATTGATAAGTAGGCTAATGAGGCCTTAAGGGCCTACTTAGAGGCTACTTAGGGGCTATTTAGGGGCTATAGTTAATTAGAGAGTCGGATTTTAACTAATCAGAGAGCCGGATTTCGACTAATTAGCGTATCAAACGCTAACTAATCAGTATACAAAACGCTAACTAATTAGGTCTTAAGATTTCAACTAATCAGTTAATTTAGAGCAGATCTACAAAGTTTAGAATTTAAGCTATCTAAGTAACTACTAAAATGCTCTCTTATAGTCTTCGCTTCGCTCCGATAATAAAAATACTTATTTTTATAAAATTAAAGTTTATATTTATAATTAATTTAGTTTTTAATTTTATACTTATTATTAAAATATAAAATCTTTTTATTATATAAACTTATTTTATATACTAATATCTTTATTTTTAAACTTATATTAGGTGCCCTAATAGAGTCTCTAAGGTCTATTTTGCCCCCCCCCCCCGATCTCTAATAGAAGATAGAAAGTGTCCCTTAATCTATTCTAACGAGGTGTTACAGACCAACAGCCTCAAGGCTTTATGAGCCACGATGATTGGCTATGAGAAGGATTCACGGAAGAACGTTTCACCGGCTAGCCAGCTCGTTCGACTCGCTACAGCGAGCCAGCTACCCAAGAGCGCTGTTAGCTCGCCCGACTCGCTCGACTCGCCAGGAGAGCCAGGAGAGCCAGGAGAGCCCCAAGAGTATACCATGTATATAAAGACGCTCATTACCTTAGGATCGAGAGTCTTATACTCGCGATCAAACCAGCTACAGTTTTACCATACTGCTTAATACAAAGCACCATTCTAGTTGTCTTATATTATATTTACCGAATACCCCTTTGCCTATTGACGCAGGTCAACTTTGTCTTTATTGCTCACAAGGACCTTCAGCCTTCATCCGACTAAGGCACTGACTGAAGCCATACTTGGAACTGAGAGATAGCCTCGCTTTAGTATTCTATCTCGCCCCGGTACTGAGCCGTCTCCTACAACGACTCATCTCCAACCCAAGCTTTCCCTAAGACCTTCGTACCTTCTGTCTTACGGCAGGTGTGAACCTCTGGTCACCTTTAGGTAATCAAAGGAGCGCCGTCAGCTTGTGACACGAGGGAGGAAAAATCGATCTCTTAATTTTAAAACCACTGATTGTTTATACCGAAGAAATTAGTCAGCAGCATTTGAATGGAGGCCGCATCACAAGTACAACATGGATTATGCAACCATGCCCAGAAACCTGCCCTTTAGGCGCAGGGTGAGCCTTTTGAGGCTGAGCGCAAACAGCATGCTTCGTCGTCCAACGACGACTCTATCTCTCACTCTCGCTTTCTGCCATCCTTAATTTCCATCATATAGGATAATCTGCAAGCCAGCTACATAATGAGCTTTGGATTACAAATTTAGTCTAAGTGGTGGTGTTTGGGCTGCTGAATCCAGCAGCTTTCGGTGCTGCTTTATGCCACCCAAACACCATCCTCTAGATCACGTGCTCATACATCGGCGCTTGTCAGCCCAACTTCGACCCACCTACAGAACCACCTCTGAACAGAGTGCATTCCACCTCTTCCATTTCCCGTTTTTGGGACCACCACCCAGGCTGTCAAATATGGGGGCCCTCCTCCCATCTGCCACGGCCATCGCCTGGCATCCCTTGATTCCTCGTCATTACCACTCGAGCTGGTCGACCAGCATTCACCTCGCAGAGTCCATCGACTACTCTCGCAACTTGATCCTCACCCTTCTCCTTCCCCTAGACCCTCGTTCATCCCACCTGCCTCTCGTCGCCCAGACTTACGACTGTCTCTCTCCAGAAGAGTCCTCATATTTCAAAGCCCATCCCACAGAACTTTCTCGATCTCGATCCCGGCGGCCGTACACGTCTTCCCTCCTTGTCTCACCGATCATCTCTCTTGGTTCTCCTGAGCTCAAGTCACAGCTTCAGAGATGACAGTCAACAATACCCAGCAGCAGCCGTACGACCCTGTAGCTGCTCTCACCAGATATCTCAACGAACGAAGTAAACCTACTGCGCGAGAGCAGAAGGAGAAACTCACTCCTGAAGGGTACAGAACCCAACGTGCAAAGCTTAATAAAGCAAGCCCTCGCCAGAGAGATGCACCCACAACGAAAGAGAACATCAATGGCATCTTGAATAAATGGAAAAAGTATGTCAGGAGATTTGTAAGAATCACAAAGAGTCGAATTACAGCTAATCCATATGCTAGGTACTGCACTTACCAATGCGAGGCTAGCTGGACAGAGGCACTGAAAACGTGCGATAAAGGTGCCATGATGTTATTCCTGCGATTCATTTGCGAGAATTACGATGTCAAGAAGACCGAGTCGCTCCGCCAATACTGGCGGCAGTTTAAATGCTTTACGATCGGACCAAGGGCGCCCCTGTGGATAGAGATGATGCTAGAGATGTCGTACGAGTACGCAATGTTGACTCCATTGATGAGAAGGTAGAGAGTGCTAACGTCAACTTTAGTATATACTCGCCTTAGAAGACGACTTCGAGCTGGATCCTGCGCCGAAAGAGAAACCTGTACTAGGATCTGACGATGTTTTACTTCTGCTCACCCACCTCTGGGCAAGGGATACGTCCATATTTCCCACCGAGGATCAACGCCATTATCTCGCGACGATACTGCTCTTGTCCATCTTCACAGGCGCGCGGCCGGCAGAGCTTGTTGATGCGATGAATCACAACGCTCCCCACAAATACCCATGGGAATGTCTAGACGACCCTGACCTCGATGGGCGGGACCCAACAGAGAACGTCGACGATCTCGACGACAAGGATTTAAATTCCAAAGACGAGCCAGATTATGACCAGCAGCAACCCTGGGACAATGCTGACGATGCTGATTTTCATGATATTGGTGAGTATTCTGAAACGAAAAGACGTTACAAGTCACTCTGCTATGAGGATATCCGACTTTGAAGTATCACAAAGGCGCAGATAGGAAACCTAAACCGTGCGTTCATGCGTTCTTTGGTCCTCTACGATACTAACCCATATTTGAAGGACCATCTACCTCTTTCGAGAAGAAGAGCTCCCTATCCTCTGTCCTATTGCACATACTGCTATCGCGCTGAAGGATGATGCGATCTTGGTCGGCGACCGCCCGGAAGGTGCAGAGCCGTTCTTCACTACCAACCTTCAAGATCCAATAAAGGCAAACCAGATAAAGTGAAAGCCATCAAAGCTCAAGGTTCCAATATCTCGGCAAGCTATTCGTACCGCAGACGGGCTTCAGACCTCGAAACACAAGGCCCTTCGCTACTCAACGTATAACTACTACCTCGATCGCCTTGGATGGGATGCTGGCCTTGTGCAGAAGCTGACGAGCTATTGCGCACGCCGCGCTACCGGGAACGCTGTTGACGGCAAGTATCAACCTTCTTTCTATGCTTTCATCCTCTCATAACTATATAGGGGCAGCCACGACGGCTGTTCGTGATCAGATCATGAGACAGAACCCAAACTCGGCAGGTTTTAACTCGGCGTATCTCAATGAAAAGGTTCGATTTGATATTCAGTCAGCGCTGATGAATCGACCATCCACTGATGGGCTCACCCTCGCCTTTACGCACATGGGCCTTACCTGCGATCCGCGTGCTCCAAAAGATGTGCCTCAAAGTGTCCGAAAGGCTCTCCCTCCCGACCCTAAAATAGTGAAGTGGGAGGAAGAACGAAAGACACTTTTCGCAGAGATCCGCAGTCGATATGGGTTCCTGAATCAGGCGACTGGAACGAAAATGGGAGATATTTACAAGGCGCTTGTTAAGAATATTAAGAGGAGGACGAAGAAACGCGAGGAAGACCTCAAGAAGGAATTCCGACAGCAATACTTCTACCGCATTCACAACGAAGAACTGCAGAGGCAGCTGAACAAGGTCAAGTGTAGCGAGTATGAGGCGCCTGTTATTTGTCACCAACTACCGGAACGGATCAGGCTACAGGAGGTCATCTGCGACTTGTCGACAGAATTGAGCTCTGAAGAGATTGTGCGACGCCGGATCCGCACGATCGACCTCATGGTAGCGCTTTGTTCTCAACGGGAGGTACTGCAGCCTAAGCCGTTGGCAGCCGCGAGCCGCGAGAGCTCTAGTGAAAGCTCCTCTACAGCAATTTTTCTCATGGAGGATTGTGCGCTTGAATCGTCTCCTGATGCCGAGCCTATGTCCCTCGAGTTAAAAGACAAGACTCAATGTATATTTTGTTTCGGTAACGGCATTAAGAAGACTTTCTGCCGCCCAGCGAAGATGATGGACCACGTTGAGAGCCACCTGCGCCTAGAGCCTGCGAAAACAGTAGGCTGCCGCCATCCAGTTTGTAAAGCCGCCGGATTGGTTCTCGACACTATTGAAATATTCAAGAATCACGTGCAAGTGGTGCATGGCATCACACTTCGGGATCCACGGTTTGTGCGCTTGACACAATAGTCTGCTCTATATTAAAAGACACTGGCACTCTCAGTGCAATAGTGGAAGGTGTAAGGGGTTTAGATATGGTTGTTTGTGGTGTTACGCTGGAGTATCGGATGTACTGTCATATCATGTAGAGAGATTATAAAGCAGTGGCACAAGTAAACTTCACTAGGAAACTCTAGCTATGAGGGGTAAAAAATAAGCTATACTAAAAATGTAAGCTTATCAATGCCCTCTTTACACTCATTCTTTACAGTACGATTGTACTGCTGGAAAACGCGAAACAGAATATGGGGCAGGACACCACTAGTACAGACAGGACAGTACGATTGTACTGCTGGAAAACAAGAAACAGAATATGGACAGGACACCACTACTAGTTACCTGGTGTGCCAGTACGAATGACGTGCCGGGACGTACACTGTAGTCGAGTTAAATCCACTATACTACTATAAAATCACTCACAAATGATAGATAGATAACATGGCGGCAAACACAACAAATGTTTATGCCCATAGTTCCGTTTCTTGCCATGACACATGCGGCGCGCCCGAACGAGAGGCACTCCCGGTTACGATTTGATACTTGAGAAATTCGGGTCAGCCTTACTCCTCCCTAGGCCTTGATTATACACTAGTAGTCTAAACATTGCCATGCTCTCCGTTTGAGATCAATGGCTCTAACTGTAGCTACTGTCTATCGTATAGAAACAGTCCTAACTTCATAATCATTGCCCCAGCGCTCCGTGGCGACCCGCTGGTGCCAAGAAGGGATGGCTATCAAGTCATCAGCCGCCCCAACCTTGAACAGCCCAAACCGCTCGTACTGGTTGTCCGCCGTCTCGAGGAGCGTGAGGCCGCATGTCTCATACTTATCCCCCGGCCGCATAGACAGCCCGAGGAAGAAGAGCGGTCCTCTATCCTCCGGAATGCCAAACGCGCTCCGAATTGATCCGTCCTTGGGAACCTTCCATCTGAAATCTGGGTTAATCATTCCGATAGTTTTGGATTGATCGGCCCTCGGCCCGCAGCCGAAATGTTGCCATGCCTCTCTCAAGCTCAAGCTTCTAACGGGACCGCGAATGGTCAATAGACCCCCTTTGACCTGACCGAAGGTTGCTTCTTCTGATACTAGGTCGACGGAGCAGTCGAGAATTTCTGCTCGGGTTGATTGGACAGAGTACCTGCTCGCTTCGTGTGGATAGACGGAATAATTGGTTACTGATGCCCATGACCAAGATGGGACGTGGTATTTTGGTACTGGTGATTCTCCGTGTGTCGGGGGAAACGCGAACCACTGGAGATCGTGCATCAGATTCCCCTTCCATAGTCCCGCGAGGTACTCATCGCCAAAGATACGGTGGAACTCGGAGGCCAGTGCAGACACGGCAGGTAGCTTGTCATCCGGATTTGTCAGTCTCCCGGGCGTATACTCCGATACGACATTATCCCAGAGCTGACGAAGAACCTTGCGTGCTTCAGGGGAAACGGCTGTTCGGCGGAGATTCGGGGTTATCTCTGAGTCTTGCAGGAAGAATAGCGGACCTAGTTTTGACGTCCTGGCGAACATGGGCGGGTTTAGGCGCTCTTCCTCTGCTTTGAGCCCGTCGTCGGATAGAAGACCTCCAGGACACTTGAATTCGATATAGTCATGATAGAAGCTGATAACGCGCGGTGAGAGGAGATACTCCTGGTATGTCCATGCGCGGCGGTCGATTGGGAACTTGTCTTCGAATCTCATGTTTACGCCGTTGAATCTTGCTGGAGTGAGCATGATGCTGCCGGTGAGACCATCTGGACCCGCTATGGAGATGGTGACGGAGCGCTCTAGTCGATTGCGTGTTTCTCCTTGGATGCCGAGGAACCCGTCACGGCACGTCGATGCTGTAGCTGCTGAGAAGGTCACCCACGAGTTCTTATAGACCTGGCTCATCTTGGCAATCTCCTTGGTCTTGTCCGGCTCGGAGTCTTGGATAATGCAGAGAGAGTCGATCCAAAGATAGGGGATCTTTAGAGCCCGCGTCAATGCTATAGCATCCCGGATGGTGGTGGGAAACAAATCCATCGGAAGGGACTTGTGGTACCCGGCGAGTCTTGCTGTCGTAGTGGAATGCGGTTGCGGACCACCCCAGCAGTAAGTCAAGGTAGCATAACGGCCAGATTCGTTTGATGAAGGAGTACACAGCCTCGGCACCTGGCCCCTGACGTCGATGACACGGGTGGGGAGGGTAACTGCCCTCGCGTCCCATCTTACACATTTATTATGCCCTTGAAGCCTCGAGCTGCACTGCTGCAGCCACTCATCCATGACGCCGATACTTCTGGCTGAGAGAGGATCAGGGTTGACAGGATCCATTCCAACCACGGACCACGCCGGATCGTCTAAGCCAGGAGTTAGCGGAAAGAACACTACGCGGCCGGCCTCCGTATCATCATACCTGGAGTAGTGGACACAGCAACGTGGTACCCTCGATCGGGTGTCTGATCACCTCTCAGGATGGACAAGAGCAGCATCTGGTTTGCCGGCCCTTGATCCGCTCGTTGAAGGAAGCGGGTAATCTCGTCATCGGAGCCTGGATATATAAGTTTCGCGAAAGCACAGCCCTGGGACGCGCAGCGCTCAAGCTGAGCTTTCGGCCCGCTGAATAACAGGACCTTCTCCCCGCGTAAGAGCTGGTGGACTGCTGATTGGCTTTTGAGCACCTTGCATAATCCATTGGAACCAATGCAACCGCCGCAGTTATGGACGGCTGGGGTCCTCGACGGCCGAGAACCCGCTAGGGCGGAGTTGGTGGTCTTGTATATCGTCTGAATCTGTTTCTGCTGCGTGCTTTTCTGTTCAGCTGCATACTCTAGGCAGAACCTGAAGTCTCCAATGGTGACGCTAATGGGCCTTGACGTAAGAATTGCATCCCGAATGATGGCCCAAGTCGAGTTGGTAAGAAGCACTATTCACCGTCAGTGATATGTGCATCAAGAAGGGTTCAAATAGTGGCATACTAGAAAGGCCGTCCTCAGTCAATATAAACTCGTCCTCGTCCTGTTCGGGACAAAACACAATAAAGGCTAGATTCGTGCACGAAAGACCTGTCCCATAGCGCTCCAGAAGGTTATCATCAGCGCGACGGTAAAGTACACCAGAGTCAGATTCGCTGTAAGGGACCGAGCTGATACCGATGGCGCCGTCGAGGGGGAGGCCTCTTACGAGCTTCTGGATCCCGCTTTCTGATTTCTGGGGGATATGGAGCACGATATCGGTGCCTCGTCTGAACGCGCTCGTCGACCTGTCGTCCCAGAAGGGAATGACCTCCCTGATGAATTCGTCCATCTCGGCTATGGTGACGCAGCTCTTCCGGTCGCGGTCGATCCATGGAATGACGGGGAAGTATCTCTCGGAAAAGCCGAGGCTGGAGATGACGCGCATCAGCCCGCACCTCTCCATCACCTCGACCTCGGATACCGTCAAGGCGATGGCATGTAGCCTCTCCTTGGGCAGATACTCGGGAGGCACGGTGCTGAGGCCCGTGGGCGGGTAGTAGAGGATGGCTCGAATGTCGGAGCGACCTAGGAAGCCGTCCCTGCTGAAGGTAGTCTGGTGGAAGCAGTCGACAATCTGGCCCTCTCGAGCAAGAAGATGGAGGATCTGGAACCACTCCAGTGGCTCCCTGGGGTAGTCGCGCTGCGATTCAGAAGCGCGGCGCTTGATGGTGAATACAACCTCCTTCTGGCCCACGTCGGCGAGGCCCCGGGAGACGTACGTCCAGCATGGCACTATCCCACTCACCATGGACTGAATCTCATGGTGATAGATCAGGACATTATGCCGGCTTTCCGGGGTAAGCGGCACGATTATGGGCCATGTGTGCGACCCGACGACTGCTGATGGCTCTTGTGCTGGCTGTCGTACTGATTCTCGGCCCGCTGTTTTTGCCGGTTCTTTGCCTACCGTCTCTGCTGCCGGTCGTGGTTTTGGTTGCAGTGGTGCCCCAGCTCGCAGAGGAGACTCGGCGGGCGTTGGCTGGGCAGGCCGCGGGTGAAGGTCATGGTCTCCATCGCGGCGCGGGCGGCGCTGTCTGCCGAAGACTGGCGAGTTGCTTCTGCATTAGTGAATTGCAACGCGTCATCTTGAACGTCGATAGCACTCACGGTTACAACAAGACATTGTCTTGACAGACTCGGAGTATTGCGCTTCTGCGATTTCGTCCGTCAATGAACCAAACCGGACCTCCCTCCCTCGTCTCAGGGAAGGGCTGGACTTAAAGGCCACATGGCGCGGCAACAGGTGAATTTGTGGCGCAGCCATGGAATAATTATTGCGACACCGAACGAGGGCTATTTAGCGAGTCGACGATTCCGCCTTGCGAATGACCCGGTTACCTGCAGACGAGGTGCAGTAGCGTAAGAGAGCGGGGTAAGCATAAATTTGTCGAGAACTACTGTCCCTTAAGAAGCTACAGGCTGGATCAGGCCTCCCCAGGGAGGCTCCGTTTTGGGCTTCATCAAACGGTAGTGTCGCCGACGCTAAATCCAAAGCTCATGATAAAGTTTGCTTGCCCATTATGCTACATGAAGTGAAGAAAGAATGGCAGAGAGTGGGAGTGAAAGACATGTTTGTCGCATTGGACGACAAAGCATGTTGTCTGCGCTCAGCCTCAAAAGGCTGACTTTGGCGCCTAAAGGGCAGACTTCTGGCATGGTTGCATGACCCCATGTCGAGCTTCTGATGGGGTTGCTCGAATGTATGATTGATCGGTAAGGCTTAGCAGTTCGCCACACACAGCTACAGGTCAGCAGCCACAAGCTCCTTGATTGCTTAATCTGGAGGTACCAACCTATATAAGAGACGTCGTATAATATAGCACTTACTAGTCACTATAAGGCTAAAAATAATTTTTAGTATCGTAGTAAGATTCGGAAATCTAGATTAAAGTATTAAATAAAATTTAAAGCTATAAAGAGCTTATAGTAGTATTATAGATTAAAAGTTCTATTATACTTTAAGTTAATATTCTCTATAATTAAGTAAAAGCTCTATTATTTAATAAGATATTAAGGTTTTAAATAGATAGATAGGTTAATAGGCCACCACTTCCATGGGTTTACCCACGCCCACAGTGGGCCTAATAAAAGGTCTGCGGGTATACTTATGCGCGTTTATCCTTATGTCTACTTATCTTTAATTTAATTGTGAATTATATATAATTTACTCCCAAGGCCCACACGAGCCAAAATATCACAATTATTATCAAGAGCGTGGGTTAGCCTGATTATAACTTACTATAGCCTAATAACCACTAGTTATTTAAGGAGAATAATATATAACCTCCTTAAATTGAATTTATATAAACTCATGGAGCCAGGGACTCAAGACCAGGTCGGTCAAGGCCCACTCCTGGCCTTGGTCTGCGTGCTAGAGACAGCTGTCAATAGTCCTTGCTGGTCCAAGCCTCCAAGGACTGCGTTCCTCATTACGTTCTATATAACTCCTCGTGTGTAATAGGCTATAGATACACATAGGCTTAAGGACCTAAGATAACATTTCTGGGCTGTTCGATCTAGCAATTTGTTTATATCTCTGGGCCTCTCCTATCAGGTTTAAATTTTCCACTCTCCTATATCGGTGTATGTAACTACCTAAGCACCCCGCCGTCTTATGTCTTTTATCTTATGACAAAAAACTTAGGATTTTAGGTAGTTATCGGACGCTTTAGGTCTCCCAGCTCCAGATTAGTGCGAGAGGCTCGCCGTTATAACTATTAGAGATCTTAGATCTTTTCAATATCTCTCAAAATTTTAGACCCACCGTCTAGTCTTCCACGTCTTGACCTCGCTGCTTCCAAATCGCCCTGAATGCGGGCCTTGAGCGCGTATATATCGGGCGGCCGTTCCCTAATCAACCGTTTCTTCTCGTTGAAGGTATTCCACCACGACTTGTCATGACCACGCGTGTGGGGAAGTAAATGCCAGTCCCACAGGCTTCTTTGCTCCTCATCACTGAGATTCAACCAAGCATACAGATCCTGGCGGGCCGTCGTTCGCTTGTCCGCAGATATCGGTAGGGGATCGCGTCTACGCCAGACGCCTTTACAGTCCTTCGTGAACTCGACGTCTTCCGGCCACTCAAAGACGGTGGCTCTCAGCTGAGGTCCGGCATCATAGATATACGGTCCAGCGTACTCCCCCCACAGCCAACACCACCCTTTATATAGCCGAGAGTCGTCGCAGCCGAAGCCATAACAAATCAAGACCGTCGGGATGACTGTAACGGTAACTACATATAGCTGGGTCGCCAGTTGAGCCATTCCCAATGTCACAACGTGCACTGTAAATGCCACCCAGCCCGTCCACTGAGCGAGGCGATACACACCAGGTGATCTGACGGGAGTCTCAGTGACAAAGACACCACGGAGAAGATGTTCGGGGATGAACATGGTGACTGCCCGCGAATCAGGCATGACGACAAGGATCTTTACGACCTCTGGCCGCCACTGTCGAGAGCCCTGCTGTGGCCGCAGCGCCTTGGGGTCCTTCCGGATTCTTTCGTCCCATTCACCAAGGGCACCTGTGAACGTTGTGGGAAGGGGCTTTGCTGTGGCGACAGCTCTGTTGATCGCATTGCGGTTTTCATGTATCGTATACGATCGCACGACGATGAGAAGTATGATCGCGATAGTATTGGCATAGCCGTACCAGTCCCCAGACAGGAGAGTCATAACAAGCAGGAAGCCTGTGAGCGTAGCCGAGATTAAGGCCGGAACGAGGACGTATGACCACTGTGCCGGTGGTGCTTCCTTGATCTCCCAGTACACGAGACTGCGGGAGACATGGAATTCCTGTGCTTGCATCCACCTGGTGAACCATGCCGTCAGGTTCCCCGTCACGATGCCGCTGGAGATGTTATAAAGCGTGAATGCTGATTGTTTGGCGCGGAACCGGTCGCCTGTGAAGACGAATCCGGCCAATAAGGGCATGTATTCAAGCCAGTAACTGCGCGCTAAGCGACCTACGGAGATGTCCACCTCGTTTGCACCTAGCAACGTCAGCAAGCCGAGGGCATCAATCTCAAAAGGGGTCCATCTTGAAAGAGCCTTCCAGGGATAGAACATTGTTACTTGAGGGAAACGAAGCAGGGCTAGGATGATGGGAAAAGGAATTATGTCGACGGTAAGGTAAATTTACAAAGGCCATGTTCGTCTGATGAGTTATATAGTTACAAGTACAATTGCCTCGTACGAAGGGCATCTCACCCTGGCAAGGCTGTGCCTCGCGCCGGGGGGGCAGTGTTGTGACCAACGTGCAGGAAGGCTGACATCTCCAAACCAGTAGTGAATTGGCATTACTCCGTATAGCGAGGATGATAACATGCACGGCAACCCAAGTGAGCAAGCGGTGGTGATTTACATACTTATACCAATCGCCGAACCCATCGGGCGTATTCAGCCGGACGAGGCTCCCCTTGAGGGCAAAACTTGTTGTCTCCAACTCGCCATGGAAACCCATCCCTCACCTTGTGATGGGTGTATATGCCCTGACCTCCCAGCTGCAACCGATACGTGCTTGCTTCTACGGACGACGAGGCTCTGGTGCTCTTACATACCAAAACACTAATTGATTTAAAGCGCCCCCTTTGCATCAAAAGGACGACCAGCCTGCCTTCTAACGCTGGATTTCCTGAAGGCCCAAGGAACCCTATCACCCGAATAACTAACTGCTCCGAGCTAAAATACCTACTAGGCGCATGATGCCGTTGTTTCGACCACCCCCTAGGCAGAGCCAACCCTTCGTCAGAACGATCTCGACAGAACGCCATCCCACTAGTCACAGGCTCAAATCTCAGCCCCCCCCGCAGGTCCCAGTAACATGGAGGCCCTACAACGTTGCCCTGGTAGGCCTGGGATACCGGGGTTACAGAAGCCATTTCCTCAGCCTCCTGGGTAACCCGCGCATTTCAATTACTGGCGTTTGTGATATCAACCGCGCGGCACTGGAGGCTTTCTCTACCAAACATCAAGGCATTCCTACCTACCACTCCCTACCACAGCTCCTGCAGAGCCACAATCTGGACTTCGCCATTGTATCGATACCACATGGCGCCTACATGGAATGCATCACTGCCATAGCAGCAAAGGGTGTCTCCATCCTAAAAGAGAAGCCTATTGTGGAGTCGGTGGCAGAGTATGAGTGGATGAGCAATCTGCCAGTAAAGATTGGAGTCACCCTTCAAAAGCGTTTCGAGCCACTCTTGTTGCAATTCAGGAGTCTACTACCACTTGTCGGGGACGTTGCCGCAGTCGAGGCACATCTCACCTTGAATATCGTGAATCTGGAAGAAACGTGGCGTGCAAGCTCCGGGGTCGGAGTCACGGTAGGTTAAGGCCGACCCAATAAACGTATAGAGTACGAAACCAACTATTGATCACTAATAGGAAGACCTTGGATGCCACATGCTCGACCTCCTTGTGTGGCTATTCGGACCCCCAACCTCAGTGATGGCGCACCAGGTCTTCTCCGTGCGACCTTCCCAAAGATACGGTGGGGACGATGTCTCCGATATTATGATGAACTGGGGGCACAAGAACTGTATAGGGCATGTACGCTTATCACGGGTCGCCCATACGCCTGCTCAATTTATCAGCGTAACCGGGACCAACGGTACCCTTAGTCTTGATGGACACCAGGTCACGCACCATGATACCCAAGGTCGCCAGACACTGAACGTCGAGCATCAACCGACCGAGAAGCAGGTAATTAGGTCCATGGTTCAAGAATTTGGTGACTGGGTTACTGGCCGTCGACCTAATTTTTCGGCCTCCCTGGCAAATGTACAGCATACGGTTTCCGTTGTCGACGCTATCAAAAATTCTCTTACAAGTCACCAAATCCAACATCCACTTTTATTATCGTCGACTAGGGTTTTGGGTGCTGCCAGCAACCGGCTCATGCCAAATGCATCCACAAACCGAGTATCAGCCGCCACTTTCTCCACCTCGTCTTTTCTCAAGAACAGGAACAGAGCCTTCGGCCTCAATACAGGAGCCTCAATTCCCGCCGTTGGCCTAGGCACTCGCAGAGCCGAGCGACCCGGACAGGTTTACGAGGCTGTATGTGCGGCATTAGGAGCCGGGTATCGCCATATTGATATGGCACAGTCTTCAGGGAACGAGCGTGAGATTGGACAAGCTATCAGGGACTCTGGGGTTTCGCGAAACCGGATTTGGATCACTACCAAGCTGGATAATAGATGGCATACTCGCGTTGATGAAGCACTGGAACTGTCTCTCAGTGCTTTAGGCATGGATTATGTTGACCTCTATCTCATGGTAAGCGCGCTTTGAACTTACAAATTGCGAGGGGTAAATGGCTGATTTCGCGAGCATTGGCCCGTATCCACGAACCCCAATGATCCTGCTACTCGGCTGACCAATTGGGATTTTGTCAACACATGGTAGGGTAGAGTTCCACCAAAATTAAATATAATCACTAGTTATATCTAATTTCTATAGGGAGGAAATGCAAAAGTTGCAGCCGCACAAAGTACCGAATATCGGGGTTTCGAACTTTGGTATCACCGATCTCCAGCGACTTCTGAGCAACCCGTCTTGCAAAGTGGTCCCCGCAGTCAATCAAATCGAGGTAGCAACCGGATATGTGCTGTGCCCTGAGTCTGTCCTTCTAACATTCTATAGCTCCACCCTTACTGGCCGTCTCGAAGGCTTCTCACGTACTGCAACAACCTTGGTATCCACTGCACCGCGTATTCCTGTCTGGGGTCCACTGACTCCCTGCTATTCAGAGACCCAACAGTGCTTGAGATTTCCCAGAAAAAGCAGAAGTCACCCTCACAGATTTTGTACGCATGCTCCCTCTCCAGTTTACCATCCCTTCTCATCTCCATTTACTCCGTACTCTAACATCAAAAGGATCATGTGGGGTATCCAACGCGGGACCAGTGTAGTACCCAAAACTGTAAACACAGTGCGAATGAGGGACAATTTGGAAATAGATGGTTGGGATTTGAGTTGTCATGAGATGGACATGCTGAATGGTTGCACCACTCGGTTCAAGTCTTGTAATGACAACTGGTTGCCTAGGAAGGTGTTCCTCTGTGATGACGGATGAGAAAATGGCGATACATACGAACCGCACAGTATCACCTGAAGACGGCCTACTTGAGAGTAACTTGAAATCTTATTACGCCTTGCTTCTATTACGCCTGCTTCTACTACGCCTGCTTCTACTACGCCTGCTTCTACTACGCCTGCTTCTATTACGTCTTGCTTCTCGAGGTTATCTAATATTGATTTTAACCTTAATTGTTTGAACATGGATTATTAGTATATTAAGAAAGGAGCTATCAATGTTAAAAAATATGTATATAACTATATATTTTAAATAATTTCAAACGTTTGTAGTGGTCTACCCCGGGCTTTAAGAGCCGCTATTGTTGGAGCCTTACCGCCAAAATATAAGCCAGCGCCCATCTCGTCGTCGCCGAAGCCAGCAAACCTTGGGTCCTTGTTACTGATATCACCAGTCCGACAGTCCAGAAACAATTGTTCGGTAAAGACGCCATTATCGCACTTCAAAACCGGCCGGCAGTGGCTCGGAAGCGACCCGAAAAGCGGCTCACCGTTGTTCAAGCCGTGCACGTAAGCCAGGCCGACGACTTGGTACTGGGACCCCGTTGGCCGCAGGAGCATGAGGCTCCTACAGCCGAGGAGGACGACGACACGATCCCCAGGCTGAGTGACGGCCGGCGCGAGTCCCATGCGGCCGTCTGTCGTGCGGATGAAAGAGCGCCCGGCACAGATGTCGATAACCAAGCTGTAATACCTGTTGGCTGGGACGATGACAGACGATTTCTCTACGATATTTTTCACCGCCGCAAGACTCTCGGAGAATGATGGGAAAAGGACTCGCTCTGGGGAGATACGGTTGCTAAACGTGTCATGACACAGTGTACAACAGTAGGCTTCCAGCATCGATACAGCATTCCCAGGATAAACGCGTTCAAGGACCCCCGACGGGGCGCACTCGCGGATAAGCTGGATCGCGGCGCCGTCACTTCTATCTCTCGTATCGAACGCTGTCGCCGCCTGTATAGTGGTCACGCTTACCCCTGTCACCGTTAGAATGCTCTCAGTAATGCTTATCATGTCCGTTGGCATATACCCCGAGGCGTACTGCTGAGCCCTAGGTGCATTTGCGTGCTGGGGGCGAGACCAGTCAGGCACCCACGTCGGCGTGTCGACAAGATGGTTCTGGAGCTCGCAAACAGACAGGAGCCGCAGGCTCTTGAGTTTTTCGATATATTGGTGTATGTAGCTCTGGTAGACCTTGCCGACCGACTTCGTATAGTCTACGTCGACGTGAAGCTTCCTCTCGTCCTCCCGACGTAAGCTCAACAGCGCATACAGTCTATCTCTTTGGTCAGAGCACTTGAGGTGGACTGTACGCCGGATGAGCATCGACAAGTTTGTTATATTCGAGTTATACATCTGACGCACCATCTCGATGCGCTGCCTGAAATCATTGGAAACGGGAGCTCTCCAGGGCTTGTTGTGGAAACACCAACCGGCTGTCATCACGTACTGCCACTTGATGAAAGCTGTGCCACATTGCAAGAGGGCCGCCTTGCCCGCCAGCCGTATCTCCTGGAAAACCCAAAGCCTCTCAAACCAGGAACGGCCGAATAAATCGGACAGAGCGCTCACTGTCGGGGTCTCGTAGGGCAGAGGGACGGACATGTCAGCCCATTCCTTGTTCCTCTCGCCCACAGGCCTGACTCTCTGCCTGGGTATGTCAACATCAACCCTGTCGGCCAGGTCGCAAATCGTACGAATCTGTAAGGGTTTCAACAGAGCTGGTCAGTCAGTGCAATCATATTGAAATTAGGGGTTGGTTCTATATACAAGACATAACACGAAGAACGGAATATCTACAAGAATCAAGGGACACGCATATAATAAGGTGATCACGTGAGCAACACGTGGTCCCGTGACAATATGGGACCTTCACCAGAACTCAAAAAGGGACCTTTTATAGAATGTATATAAGGACGCTCTTTACCTTAGGATCAAGAGTCTTATACTCGCGATCAAACCAGCTACAGTTTTACCATACTGCTTAATACAAAGCACCATTCCAGTTGTCTTATACTATATTCACCGAATACCCCTTTGCCCATTGACGCAGGTCAACATTGTCTTTACTGCTCACAAGGACCTTCAGCCTTCATCCGACCAAGGCACTGACTGAAGCCACACTTGGAACTGAGAGATAGCCTCGCTATAGTATCCTATCTCACCCCGGTACCGAGCCGTCTCCTACAACGACTCATCTCCAACCCAAGCTTTCCCTAAGACCTTCGTACCTTCTATCTTACGGCAGGTGTGAACCTCTGATCACCCTTAGGTAATCAAGGAGCGCCGTCAGCTTGTGACACCTCTGAGCTCGACCTCTAGTTTATAATATATAGTATTTTCTCTATCTATTCACGGTTTATCTTTTCGCTATATATTTAGGCAAAACCACCCCAATGTATAGCTAGGGCCTTGACAGATTTAGTTTTTATTAAAATTCTACTAGAACTCCGAATATATTCTATTAAAATAAAAAAAAAACTATATAAATATGGAGAAGTATTATATTAATCAAGATGGAATACTTTAACAATTAATATTATCGAAATATTCAAGATGCCATGTACAGAAATCCACCATCTTTCCATCAGCTGGGAATTTAAGTGAATCCCCTAGTTCCAGGAAAGCGGGTGACATGTCTTGAAGGCGTAAGTCAACGTCCAATGAAGCAAAAAAATTCTTGTTCAAATTCCAGACCTCTCTAGAGAAATCGACCTCCGCCACAACAGGCACGCTAGCCCGATAGTGTGGGCTGACATACGGGAGCGTGTACGGGGCCCTACAAATCGTACTATCCGAAAGCTCCAAGCATAGCCCTCCCTCACGCGCACCGGCAAGGAAGTCGCGACAGTCGACGTGGTTGAGTCGCTCTCCAGAGGGTATGGTTCGTTTATCTAGGTTGAGAGATCCCTGAGCATCACAGAGGGTTCGAAACTCGTCGACAGTGCATTGGTTGACGAGGAGGGATTTTGCGTACGTTTCTGTCTGCCCACTAAATGTATCATCATCGAAGAGGATGTAGTTGCCAGAGGGAATGCGGCTGACTTGAGAAGCAAGCGGGGGCGCACCGTAACGCGCGACAAACCCGCATGCTTGGCGGCTGAGGGGACGAAAGCGTCGGGACATCTGGAGGTTAACGGTACCGGGCAAACATGGATCGAGGCTGATGACCTGTTGATCCCCAAACCGCTCTTGGTATATTTTTTCCTGGTCCGCAAGGCGTATTGAGAGAATATTTACTGGTGGGAGCATTCTCGGCTCCACAGTGAAGGCCTTAGCGAAGGCTTGTCGTAACCCAGCGCAGAATGTCCTGTACGCCATCGCGGCCCTGTCCAATATGCAACCCTGATTTCTCACCCACGGCTCAATGGCCCAAGGACCTTCGTCCCGCATGTAAAGTTCACCGGCTCCCCAGGCCAAGCAAGCGACCTAGTTTGCAAATGCGTCCATTCCGCCTTAGTGATATCTAGAAGACCGGATAGATCTCCCTGCCAAACTTTAGTAGAACTGAAGTATGGGGCTTGGTCCCAGCTGAACATGACTCGAGGGTTGTTAACTATCAAGGCGTTCTTGGACGCTTCCTCAACAGCTTGGAGGCTCCCTTCTCGCACAACACACAGGCATGATCCCCTCTGAACGAATGAGAGAGAAAGCATGGCGTTATCGCCCCCAAATACGTACACAACGTTTATAGGGCGATGCGTTCGTACGTTCTGGGCGAGCAATTGCGCTATATAATCTAGGACCCGGGTGAAGTTGACGGCCCGTGGTGCATACAAGGCGGACCATCGATCAACCATGAGCCACTCGCTCTCGGCTACTGCCCGTTCGCAAAGGTACAAACGCTGGGCTGGGGATAGTGTACCATTTTCACTCCCAGAACGTGTCTTTGAAGCGAGATACCCGTTATGGTCGGGACAGATATATCCCCCAAGTACCGCTATGCCCCGTCCTTCTAGCTCCCGCTTTGCCGTCTCCATCGTCTGGATGTGACCCTTGTGGATTGGGTTAAACGCCCCCGTCGTGACAAGGACAGCCAATTCCTTTGAGGCGTCATTCCCCATATGCAGGAGCCGTGAATGCACCTTATCAACTGGTCCTGTCCACCAGCGTGGGTTGAAGCCGCTATAATTGCCGCCCAATCCGTCCTCGAAATAGCCCGCAGCTTGCAATAACTCGAATGAACCGTTAAAAGCAGCCAACGCCTTTCGGTAAGTCTGGTCTAGACCTGCAACAAGCCCGGCCAACGGTATATTGTTGGCCAGTGATGTGACAAGAGACGGAGCGACAGGCTGGATGTCGCGTTGAAAGCACCGCTCATAAATGATATCCATCCGCAAAAGGACAGGTGCGCCCGTTGTCTTGGTAGAAGTGGCGAAGTCATGAAGCAGCCCATGATCGAAGAGTAAGCAGTCCCCAAGGTCCATTGAGACTTCCAATAGGACATCCCTCGGCGATGCGGGCTCAGCGTGGTCCGAGAAGTCTCTCTCGTCCAATGGCTTCCACCTCTCCGTATCCAGCAGAAATCGAGTATTCCCATCCCCGTCTGCGTGTAAAGTGAGTTTGAACAGGATACTCATCAAAGGCCGCCGGTTTCCGCTTACAAGGTTGAAGCCCACGTCGTAATGTGGTACAATAGTGCCACCATGCTCGAAGCGTACGAAACGTAGTGTTGGATCCAGGCCGACCGGACGCCATAGGCCGTGGTCATTGTTGTCGTGGTAGTTCTCCTTCACCTCGCGTTCCGACTGTATAGCTGGCCTTAATCTTGCCCAAAGAGCGTTGGCAAGGCCTTCATTGTTCGCACGGGCCTGAAAGCATCCCGCCCGTTGAACCTTGTCGCCTATAGAATTTGCTAGGAGGTGATTACCGTCATCACCATCAAGCGGTCTACCGTGTATATCGGCTGCACCCCATGACCATTGTTCAGAATTCTCTAGGATCAGATTGCATATATCTGGGGTTAAGACGCGGCGGGCTAAAAGCACAGAGTCGCCAAAGTCTCCGAACTGCATTGCAGGAGGTGGCTGTGACGATAGGTTTGGTCCACATGAGATGTTGAGCGGAGAGCTTGCATCGTTAAAGGCGAATAGTCCAGGCATTTTTGAAGAGTCAATATTGCACGTTAGGTTACACAGTCAGAGGAAGATAGGAAGGGCAATAGCACTTACATATTATATGAATGGAAGCGTATGAAAACAAAGTAGAACTTTTCGTGGAGCCTCACCCTCGTCCAGCCTTGCAACGAAGAGCCGCATTCAGAGTGCCCGGAGCCTGATGGCGTATGTAACTAATCAAGAAGTAGGCTATCACGATACGGTATGTATGATTGATGCCCAACTTCCAGGGCTGATTTTATTGCGACATGGTTGTCTGCGACGAGCTGTGCGGTATGTATATCTGTCCATGACCGAGCCTGGTCGCTGTAAGCAATACCCGCTACTCTCATCTTTTGCAGTGCCCCCGGTACAACAACGCACCCACCGGCCATGGCTGCTCTCGCCCCGCGTTACCAGTACAGCCCCATAGATTCTGCAGGCGGCGAGATTCGGCTCCTGACGATATGTTCGGGGACATTCAACGCGCCGCTGGATTTGCGCCTCGACATCCGCCGCCGAGTACTCCCACAGCCTGGAACGGGGTCACCGCCCACTGCGCCGAGTTTTGAGGCTCTCTCGTACACCTGGGGCGCACAGAGCAAACCCGTGAATATCCAGATCGGTAGCTGCCAGGAGCGCCTTTCGGTCACTCCCAATCTCGCCACCGCGCTGCCATTCTTGAGGCTCTCAGATCGGGACAGATTAGTCTGGATTGATGCAGTATGTATAGACCAGTCCAACCTCCAGGAGAGGGGTGTCCAGGTGCAGCTTATGGCCGAGATCTTTAGGCAGGCGGCGCAAGTCGTCTGCTGGGTTGGACTGGAGAGTGCGAACAGCAAGCTGGCGATTCTGTCACGGGACCACGTGTTGCTCACGTGATCACCTTATTATATGCGTGTCCCTTGATTCTTGTAGATATTCCGTTCTTCGTGTTATGTCTTGTATATAGAACCAACCCCTAATTTCAATATGATTGCACTGACTGACCAGCTCTGTTGAAACCCTTACAGAATGAACAGGTGGCTCTGGAGGCCATCAGGAAAAATAGCCACAGGATCCAGCGGCCATATGTAAATTGAGGCATCAGTCAGGGAGCTAGGAAAAGTATACAAATATACTAATACCGTTATTTCAATTCAAAACAAAAAGCCCTTAAGGGACGGTCCTGAAGGGAGAATCTTGAAGGGGCGGATCAGAATGGGCAGGCAACATGTTATTGGTGCAGCCTGGTGTTACAGTGGGTGTTCTTGGAAACCTTAACCTTACCGTTTGACTCATAGGCGCCAGCGAGTGCGTGCTGTGACGCCAGTCGACTTGGATGATCCTCAGCGAGTGTTATCCTTGAATTGATCTGAGTTTGAGTTCGCTAGAGGCGTCAGACCCGACAGTCTGGTCGGTCGCCCCTTGGTCTTGGCACCCTTGAGGGGCGCCCCAGCAAGGGCTCGAGCCTCAAAGAGGCCAACCGCAGCAGAACGACGCAGGAATGGAGAGACGAATGGTCCCTGTCCCCCAAAGGAGCCCACCTGAGGAAAATCGACACCGCCCTCCCAGACCAGCACACCCGCCATCTCTACGCCACGCTCCAAAGGGCGCAAGCACGACTTCTAACACAACTCAGGACAGGTCACTCATGGCTAAGTGAATTCCGAAACCGAATAAAATATACTGACAGTGACAAATGTGAATGTGGAGCAAAAGAATCAGTCCGTCACGTGCTGGTGGACTGCCCAAGACTACAGCAGCAACGTCAGGTTCTACGACAAAAGGTAGGAGATAGGTTCAACAGCCTCTCACTAATGCTAGGGGGTAAACCACCAAATTGCTCAGGGAATGAGATGAAATGGAAGATCAATAGAAGCGATCTTAACGCGGTTCTGGACTTCGCTGAAAGTTCGGAACGATTCCAAGGTAGGGACAACTAAAGAGAGCAGCCACAGGCCTTGACGAGGCATCAAGATCGTGCATGTAATTAGACATGGAAAGATAGATGAGAGTAGTCATAGTCGTGGTAGCCTGCATATCCCGGTGAGGAAGAGGTCAGGGTAAATGAATAAAAGGAAGTGATTACGCCCAGGCATTCTGTCAGCTCAGGTACACCACTTTGCCCACTTCTTCTTAAGACGAAGTGCAGCTGCCGAGACATGGGTCGGAAGGGAAGGTCCTGAAGAGGAGGATCGCAGGCAATATGTTATTATAAGAGTGCCGCCAGGTGTCACAGTAGGTCGATTTCCTTAGAATCCCTGATAGAACCCATCTTTGAGGCGGTGGGCTGGTGGCGGACGAAAGCTGCCAACAGTAAGGGGTGCAGGTTGTTGGTACCAAACATAGGAGGTGGGTGACATCCAAAAGGGCTTTTGGGAAGACTAGCTACTTGCCGGTTTAGGTTCGTCCTGGTTCAGCTTGGCGGCGGGAAGGCCACCTTTAAATGCGTGGCTAAGCTAGCATCATGACATTCGAGAAGTTGATCAAGTTACTAGGAGGAATCTAGTCACTTGATTCGCCTCTGTGGAAACAAGGGCCTTCTCTCAACCAAATATGATCATAATAATTACAATATTATCGAGTGGTTAGCTAGAATAAATAGAATTAATTAATGTACATAATTATGGAAAATAAGAAAACTCAGTTTAACCCAATAACATTAGGGTCCTCCTGGGCGTTTCGAAGGATTTCCCTTATGGCAGAATACAGACTTTTATTAGGTGTTTTCCACCTTCTGCCATTGGGAAATACAACTCGCCATAGTCTATTGACCTAAGGCACGAGTGACTAATAGTATTCCGTAAACTGTTTGGTAGTTGTCTTTAGAAATTTATCTTCCTTAGTGATTACGCCAATCTTTATATCAGCTAGCTCCTCTGTATTCATGAAGTTCCATTTGTTGAAGTGTTCAATAATCTGGCCTTTCCCAGGGCCTTCGTAGTGGATACATATCTAGAAAAAGACCCAGAAGAATGATTCGAGATCATATATAAAGGAATGTGGTTTATCGTCTAGAAGAACTCCGGTTGCTATAAACGCCTGCGTGCCGATCTTGCCTCGCGCCCCTGAAGCATCTTCCCAGTCTTCTTTGATGGCAAGGTCCAGATCAATGATAAACGCCTTCTAGGACGCGCTATCCTTATCCTCGTTGATTATGAGGTTATTGGGGGAAATGTCTCTCTGAAGCATGCCGGCCTGCTGATAAAGGGACTCGTATCCTTCGATGCACCCTTCTAGCGCGGCCAGCAAGGCAACCCTCGAGCTCGCCTTGTAGATTGGCTGGCCGTAGTCCTAAACGATGACACGACGATGGACACGATTTGGGATGGACGGAGGTTGGGACTGCTTGCGTTTGCTGGGTGGCAGCGACGGCTCAACGCAGGTGGATGATTGTTTGCGGCTAGCTGTCTGGCTGCTCTTCCCCTTGCGGGATGCGCTCCTGCTCAGCGGACGCCTGGAGCTGACCTATTTGTAGTTGCTTGCCGTCGTGATGTCTAGTCTCTTCCTCACTCTGTCACGGATATCATAATCTTGGCCCTCTACCTGGACCGTCGCATGGTAGTAATACCTCGCGACGTTAACTACCTCCTTCTCCATGGCCTCACGCAGCAGCTCCCCTTCCTTATCGCGCTTGGGATACTGCTATGAGGCCTTGATCACCAGGGGTGTTTGGGATTCGTCTCTGTCGCGATGTACCTTCCAGCAAGTTGTGGCTCGTCCGGCGACGCAGTGTGCGCGCTTTATCACCTCATCAATAATGAGACGCTCCTCCCCACTATCCCGTTTGATTTTAAAGTACCGCAAGCCATTGGCGTTGGTAATAATCGTTGGATCGAATCCGAGCTGTCCTTTGGTTATCAGCAGATACCCAAGCATGACCGAGACGAATCAAAGGCCGTCCTTGTGGATGTCGAACTACTTGGACGCGATCCCTCCCAGACAGTCAAAGAGCCATAGCCTCATAAGTGACCCGCATAGCGTAAAGCCTAGCACAAAGAAGCAAGAGTCCTGCGCGGCTAGCACTTCCCTTGTATATCTGCCTATGTCCTGCCTAGACTGGGTTTCGTAGTCCGGGTCGTTCTTCAGCTCTCTAGGAATGAGGATCTGTGACCACGCATACTTGCCGTCCTCGAGGGGTTTAATGCTATCCATGAAGCCGATATCCAGCGTCCGCTTAGCCGTGGAGCCCTTAAGCCGCTTATGAGGCTACGCTAGGGGCCGCCTTTGAATCGCCTCGCCGGGCGTGTGCTCCTCATAGAATTGTATTATCTTGTCGATGGCCCCCGACAGCCAGGCAAGCACAGGCGCCTCCTTTGCACCCTCGGGCCATCCCCTCTAGCCAGCTCCATCGTGGAAGAGCGGCTCCTCCCCCTCCTTGCATCTCTCAAAGACCGCCTGCGCGTTTGTCTGTAGCCCCAGGATATATCCAAAGAAGGTTTCGTAGAACTTTGGTATGTCAACATACATGTCGCCCAGGTCCTCCCTTAGCACGGCGTTCATGTTGGTTCGCAGCTCGCTCGAGTTGACGACGCTGCCTGTATTTCGAGTCAAGGGAGTCTGGAAAGAGCACAACGGAAGGGGGGAAGGCGTCAACTCGGCGATAGCGTGCGTCACTTTACTCCAAATAGATTCATCGGAGTCATTGTCGTGAATTGCCTTGAGCAGGGGAAGGAAGCGTTCAGCATCAAATGTTCCCTGGCGGACTTCAGGAAGAACCCTCGCAAGCCCATCTAAAATAGGTTCGCGCCCGGTCAAGGGCAGTTTTCGACAAACAGGATGAGATTGTAGTGCTAATATGAGGTCAAGTAGTCGATCATTTATATCAGCCCTGCTCGTTTCTTCTTCCGATATAAAGGCGTTATATAGGTCTTTAAAAGCATCTAGCCGGTCCCCGATCGGGTGGCTGCTTATTATCTCAGATCTCGAGGGCGACATGTTCGGGAACTTGCATAATGGGAACAATGAAAAGAATAAAGAATTCGTCAGCGCGTCGCGAATCTCAAGTCTTTTTAATTTTGGATAATTGTTAGTCCGGCGTCCCAGACTAGCCACATTAAGATTGGCCCGGGCGCTAACCGCTGTTGTTAAAATTAGAAACAAGAATTGCCTATTCAGGCTGCATCCTCAGGCGTTTCCATTTTCACTTCATGAATTCTTCTCCTCCTGTTAAGTATACATGCTGGAGCGACACATTCAACACCAGGCCCGTAGCCGAAGGCCTTCAACTAGCAGTTGGAAGATCCAAATATCTTCGGTATTGCCCCCCAGAGGAAAACACTCATGTCGAGATTCGATACGAGGCAGGGGTGGTTTCTCTACATCGTCGACAGGTTCGGATTGCGTCACAGCGCATAGACGAAGCTCAAGGAACGTTGCCGGAAACTTTTGGTGACATTGTTATGCATGCGGAGAGGCTTTCTAGAGCGCACCGTGTACTTGAATTGCGATGTGAAGGGGGGGAAGAGAGTCTGGAACACGCTGTAGACTTTCAGGTCGGTTTTGTGGAGGAAAAAAAGCCTGGCAGGCTATTTCAAAAAAGTGATAACCGCGTCAACGAGGGAGATCGTCTTTATATTCGATTGAATAACAAGGGAGATAGCCCGGTTTATGTGTCTGTTTTCAATGTCAACATTGCGGGCCACATCTTTCTATTGACACCACGACACCCTTTGGGTATGAAAATACCTCCCGGAGAATCTAAGGCCATAGGATATACTGCCTTCAACGTTTTGAAAGGCCTCGAGATGGTCTGGCCAGAAGGCCTCTCTAGAGATTCACCGATTGAAGAGTGGTTTCTGTTTGTGCTTTCAGGCGCCCCGGTTGATTTACGATACTTATGTGATTCGATGGATCGCGATCTTATCTCCACTCTCAACCGCAATGTGCTACTCCCAGAAGAAGAAAGCCTCGATAATCGTTACGATATAGCTTATATACCGTTCTCCTTTCATCCAGCAGCTGCTGAGCCTGGAAATGGACTTGCTATCGAAAAAGTTACTCCCTTTCCACCCGACGAAGGGGATATTCAGCCTATGGATACCATGCAGGAGCAACAGCATATTCCTGCAGCAGAGCTGCCAGAACCCGAATCTATGACGGAACATGATGACGCCCCACCAACCGTCATTGGAAAGGTGGGACTTTTGTCACCGATTTTTCCTTGTGTCTCTACTAACATCAGCCGGCTATAGGGAATCTTTGGCGCAATCAAGCGAGCTCACATCCCGCTCCTTATTCGGGTTGTAAACCAACACGATGAAGAGATTACGGTTGTTGTCTCCAAATATCGGCCAAATCGGATGCTGTCAGGTGCCTCTGTGAACGCATCCGCTACCGGCGGAGGAATAGAATTCAACACCACTGTATGCGCCTATCACACACCTCCCATATATTTTTCATTCTCAGAACGCTAATTATGACATCTGATAGACATTTGTTGGGCCAGCTACCAAAAAGACACTCCTACCCTGGGACGGAAGCGATACCGGCCCGACGGCTACCTTCCCTCTCTCGACTCGAAAGGAAGGGTTTGGCGTCATCACGATCTTTAAAGGCCCTCAGAAGACACTATACATCGAGAACGACCGCGTTCCGCTTGGTGCTACTGCGTATTTCGTAAATAAACCTGATCTGAAGATTATAGAATATGCTACTAAGCAGGGTGAGAGTCAGAGGGCCCAATGACATGGATTGGGACTAGTATTTCTAATTATTCGCTATATGTCTGACTATAATGTAAATAGTCTCCTGGGGATCTAGGAAGTTAAATTAATCCATTTATTTTCGTATTTTCATCGTATTGGTTCCAGGTTGCGTCAGTTTAGCCCTTTCGTTCATTTCTATTCATTGGGGGCTCCCCTGAAGTTTTACCAGACCTTGTGCCGTCGCTGCCTAAGGACACTGCCTGCATGGCTACTCCGTTATCTTAGGCGGTGGCTTATTGGTTGTTGCAATAGTGAGTATTGTAACGCAAGAATGCCGCAGCGGAAGCCTTGCGGGCATGACCGATCACCGTCAATGCAGCGGACTCGCTAAGGTGCGTAAGGTGCCGGATTATGCGTAATTGACTAGAGGGTGACTTAGATGACGGTGTTACCTGAACAGAAAGGAGCCAATAGCGTGTTACATCATGCCTGCATTGAATTTTTTTGGGTAAGGGTTGCTGTTTCTTGGGCTGGCTGAGTAGTGCGTGCATGAAGCCGGATATATCGGGTTTACCGTGCCTATATATGGATGTCAAACTCGGGGAATCAATGCAAGCTGCATTCCGGAGGTGAGCTAAGGCCCTGCATTTCGAAGGACTATCAGCTGAGATTATGATTTCACATCAATGCGAGCGGCTACGGCTCACGGACAGCTTTGGACCAAGAGAAATATCCTTTTTTTAGGCGGGAAAGTTTACTCTATTTTTAACTAACTGTACCGCAACTCAAACCTCACAGTACTAACGACTATTATAGTACCATGAACATTACTATCGCGGTACTAAAAGGATATAAGTATTGAAGAACGTCCGTTTGTGGAGGGTCACAAAACCATACAAACTACGATAGGACAACTCTACCCATTGACACTTGTTATTTTATTCTGATAAGAACTTGTTCAGCAGGATACTTTGCAGTCAGAAATTGCTTAAGTGGTTTTGGAACCTGGATTAGCATATGATTTGAGCGGAGAGGCCAGTGGAAGATCTCAACCGTGCTGTTGATGTGGCTGACATGGCAGTCGAAGCCGCTCCGCACGACCACCCTGATCGAGCTGGTTACTTAAATGGTCTTGGAAACAGCCTCAGCACACGATTTAAGCGGACTGGGTCTTTAGAAGATCTCAACCGTGCTGTTGATGTGGCTGACATGGCAGTCGAAGCCACTCCGCACGACCACCCCAACCGAGTTATGTACTTAAATGGTCTTGGAAACTGGCTCGGCACACGATTTGAGCGGACTGGGTCTTTGGGAAGATCTCAACCGTGCTGTTGATGTGGCTGACATGGCAGTCAAGGCCACTCCACAGGACCACCCTAACCGAGCTCATCGTTTAAATAACCTTGGGATATGGCTTGGGACACGATTTTAGCGAACTGGGTCGTTGGGAGATCTCGACCGTGCTGTTAGTGCTGCTGATATGGCAGTCAAAGCCACCCCCCAGGACCACCCTAACCGAGCTCATCGTTTAAATAACCTTGGGATATGGCTTGGGACACGATTTTAGCGAACTGGGTCGTTGGGAGATCTCGACCGTGCTGTTAGTGCTGCTGATATGGCAGTCAAAGCCACCCCCCAGGATTACCCTGATCGGATAAAATTTGCTGACAGCAACCAGCCGCTTCAGGCAGTTGGCGCACGCTTCAAGGTAGTAGATGTCCTGGAAGAAGGTATGGAGCGACGGGATGATTTCTTTCCTCCCCTGCAGATCTCCCAGATAGCCGTACGTTCAAAGTCGCTGAAGCCGCCAAAGGCTTCACCGCTGAGCACGCGGCCCCGTGCGGTCTTTGCATCCTTCCGGGAAACCCCGGGGGCTAGAAGCTGTAGGCTCTCCACCGTTTGTAGGTCAATTCTTATCATCCGCTCGCGGTCATCTCCCACCAGAGACGCCCAGAATTCCTTCACGAACGTCAGATAATTAACGATTTCTAGCAATCGATAGACATGGGGCCTGGAAATGGAGCACCGACCTCGTCACAGTTGAGAACTAGAGCCGATATGCAGTCCACCCCATAGCCCAGGGATCGCCAGCAGCGCGTCGAACGCAGCACGCACATGTGTGTGAGAATTAAGTTGCCGCAGTCGCTTTGCTTTATTTGCCGACAGTCGCGACATCCAGCGCTCCTCGAAACGAGAATTAGCTTCATGCTGATACTGGCGGACTTCCGGTAGACCTCGCCATCGCTCGGTGGTCTGGCGTTGGAGTACTCATCAATAAGAGAGATTTGTAGGCTGGAGCTTATTTCTGTGCTGAGCAGTCAGGGAGGAGCGCGGCAGTGGTGGGCGGGGATGCATGTGTAGACATACCGTCTAGATAGAGGTCGACCGTCCACCACTGGTTGCTGGGCGAGAGTAATCCCCCGCCCGCCTTCAGACGATGTTGGCCGTGGAGACAGCGTACCTCTTCGGCGGAGAACTGAAGGTGCGGATGATTGATTGATTGATTGATTCATTTACGCCGTCCCAGCCGCTTTGTCAGCAGCTATGCAGCCTGTGTCCTACTACGTGGCCCCAGCTTTAACCACTTGCACTAAGATACATGAAGAAAAATTTAATAAACTGTAAAGGAACGTGCACTGTCGGCTTGACGACCTTGCATTGCCCCGACTTTGACTTACGACGAATAGTTCTATTCGAAGCCTGCCCCGCAGGCCCGCAGGGGAAGGAGGGTCGGTCAGATTGAGGCGTAGGAAAACTCATGGTTACGCTGCTGGTGTTACCTGGTTGCAGATCCTCATCTGCAAGTTCTGATAAACCTGAGGAGTCACTGCTCTCATCAAGAGACTGTTCTCCGCCTAGAGATTCCGGCTGTGTGGAGAGGTCGCTTGCGGAAGGTACGAACAAAGGACTATTTAGGGCTTCTGGTACGGACATATTTCGATCAACTGTAGGGGAAAAGCTGCTATCCGGCTGCAGGACATTGTCTGATCCCAAACCCAGCCTGGCGTGCTCAGTAAAGCGGGATCGATCGTGCCAGACATGGTCACACGTTCTATTCCTTCGACATGTCAGCGATTCAGAAGTAAAAACGGAGCGGGGAAGATGCTTGCCCAGGTCATGCCGTCCCTGTGCTCCCTCTGTAGCCCTAGGGTCGACAACGGCGCAATCAGCGGGAGCTGTGGTCAACGGCGTTTGCGCTGGCGACTCGTCGCCAAATAGGGTATCTGCTTGCGCCCCAGAACCACTATGGCCTAGTTAATGTAAATGCATGGATGTACGAATACCATGCAGCTCGATTATATCAAGGTTTGCGGCACTGCCCAAATTGTCGCCCTACGAGCGTCCTCCACCCTATTAAAGTTAGGTTCTAAACCTGACGAAAGAGAGGTGACAAGTCGTTGTGATATTAAGAACTGGTCCAGTTGTGCTATATGGAACTATAATACTCCTTCGTTGAGCTTAAGATGCGTTGGACGGTTTAGGAGATCTAGAACTCCTAGACTAGCTCTAAGAGTGACTCTCCTGCCACTTCGCCTCGCCGCCTAGGAAATATAAACCCCAGACGAGTGCTGATTACCATAGCAAAAAGAAGAAGGGAAAGAAAGGTTTGGTTATCGTTAGAAGGAGTGCTATTGTCGAGGAAGAGAGCAAGGAACCTCCCAACCTTCTCACTACGAGTAAGGATAGTACGCCTACAATTACTTACGAGATAGGCGAAGCCGAGAAGGACATGCTTAGAGCTAGCTTAAAAAGGTATGACCTATATCTAAAGGTAGCAATTGAAAGCTAATACATAGGTTATAGCTACTTCTATTCCTCCAAGTTTGCCGACCTTGTGATTCGAACTGCGGATGACGAATTCAAGGTCCATAAGGTGGTTGTCTGTGGGCAATCTGAGTACTTCACCCATATATTCGACGGGATTGGAAGGTCACTCTACCGGCAACTGCTATTTAAACACGTAGCTTATAGTTGCTGACCTTCTAGGAGACTGCGGAAACGTTGTTGACCTTTCGAAGGATGATCCATTTACCATTGATGCAATGGTCCGTTTCATGTACGAGGCTGATTATGATGGGAGTGGCAGTAACAGAGGGCGAATCTCACCTATGCTCTTTAATGCTAGGGTGTATGAAGTTGCGGAGAAATACTCTATACCTCATCTCAAGGAATGAGCTAAGAGGAAATTTAAAGAGGCTGTGGGTACTTGTTGGGGTATGGATGACTTTTCCCCGGCGATTGTAGAAGTTTATACAAGTACTCTCTCGACTGATCGAGGGCTGTGTGGTATAATTTTGCAAACTGCCTTCCAAAATATTGGGTTACTTCTGCAGAAAGATGATTTCTAATTAGTTTTAACAGAGCACGCTGGGTTTTCTGCGGATATTGTTTGGCTTCTCGCTAATAAACCTCCGCCTCCAGCCACTCCTTTGAGAACAACATGCCGTAGCTGTGGTGGTTATTATTAGTTGAAATAAAACGTTAAGCTTGGCTGTATCAAGGGGTGTTCGGCTAGAGTTGTCCCGGAGAATGTGTGAATATTGTAGCCATTCTCCATCTGGATATGGGTTAGCTATGCATGCGAGGTAATATGGGCAACTTTCAAATATACATACAGAGTTGAGTCCAGGCGGAAGCGCTGGTAGTAATTATCGATCTCGCCATTTAATGTCATCGAAATACACAAAAGCCTCGCTGTTCTTATGCCCAATCAAGCCTATTCCAGCACTGCTATCTCGTAGATATAAATCTCATATAAACCCTCACCAGTACGCGTATCTGAAATGATTTTGGTATGCCGCGGACCGGTTACTCTATATGGATTAATATTTCTATAAATTCTAGTAGTCCAAAGAATATTGAGATCCAAAGAGATACACGGATCTATAAAGATTTTCATATCTGTCAGGGATCTGACGTAGAAAGGTTGAGAATAGATAATAATTGATTGTTCAACTAAGAATTGGCTTATTATACAAGACGTAGTACGAGGAAAGGAAAACAAATGAAGAGACAGGGGGATCTGCAAGGTAACGGTTATTCTAATCATGTGATTTAGCCTTGTGGGTCAGTCCCGTGACACCGGTATTTTTATACACCCCGGTATCGAAGGTACCAACGCTCCAGA